TGACGAATTCTAACTCCGCGAGCGGTCCAAATTAAATCTCATAAAAACAAAAAAAATTATTCAGCTATATATATATATATATAATACATGTGAAAGGATCCAATGCATGATCCCACAGTGGCCCCATTGTACTAACCATCATCTAAATTAGTACAATGTTAGTCAAAAGATCGAATTGGCCTTTAGCTCAAACCCTAGCAAGATTGTCACTCAACCATCATGTTATCGGTCCCTTTCCTCTCATGTGGGGCATTTCTTGCCCTTCTGATTGATGTTGACCTCCCAACCTCACAATTTGTTAATCCACGTTTTTTTTCCTCGAGCAAAGATCGGATCATAGGGATCTCAATATTTAATTAACCCCATTGCTTGTACCATTATTCCGAGATAATTATCATTTAATCGTCATTTTTGTTCCCCCCTTTGAAATGTCATTTTTGTTGGGTTCTGCATTAAATGCATTCTTTAATGTTCCCCCTTTGAAATGTCTCCCCCCGTGGTGCGAGAATATATATCCGGATCATGGACCATTCTTGGACGATAATGAAAACAAAGAAAAGGGACAATAATTGTTATAAAAATTTCAAAATTCGGAAGACAAGGACTGGAAAATCATGTGAGGACGGTGCTTCGCTCCACTCCTTCGCCTTCTGTCTTTTTTTTTTTTGTTTTAAAACATAGACAAAGGCTTGCGATATCGAATGATAATGACTTCTTCTTCTTTTTTTATCAAAAAATTATAATGTCTTGACTTGATGCAATGATCAAAACCCTCCATGTGAGGACTCGTGGCCTTGATTAAGTTGAACGTTAGCGCGTCAAGCCGATCTTAATTATTGGTGACTTCACGCATTTGTATACATTTAACTAGGTAATTCTCGAGGAAGACTCGTTTGGAATCAATTCTTTCGACTTTGCGGGTAATAATACCGATATGATAACCCTACAAAAAGGTAATCGATTGAGGTTAAAAAAGAAAAGAAAAGATGGTGCGATTTCTCCGATTCTTTCCTTTGTTTCGGTGAGCGAGGAAAATATAAAATTAGAACCGAGCCTAACCTTAAATAAAGACGGTGGGTCATTTTCACTTTCAATTAAGCCAATAGGTCACAATTAAATTTTTTGTCGAAATAAAAAATATCTTTTAGTTTGTAAATTTGAGGGTTTTAACATGACCCGGATTCTCCAAAAGTTGGGTAAAAATAAAAAATAAAATATGTAGTGTAGATAAACGATTTTCTTCTTTTTTTTTTCGCTATAATTAGTTCGGGCGACATTGTCTTAACATGACCCAGTTGGGTTCTCCAAAAGTTAGAGAAAAAGTCAAAATATATATATATATATATATATATATATATATATATATATATATATAATGTAGATAAACAATTTTCTTTTTTTTCCGCTATAATTAGTTCGGGCGACATTGTCTTAATAAGAAATTCGCTGACCAGTAATTTTTATTTTTAGCCCATCTATGGATGGTAAATAAATTTTTTTTGGGCACTTCTTCGGATTAAAACCAGATTAAAAATATTATATGATCATCAGATTGGCATGACAGTGAACCGAAAGCTATGTTACAGCTTCCCTCTGATTTGGATTACATGAAAAAGTTAAGAAGAGAAGCATGCCTTATAAAATTGCTTTATTTTCTTTCCAATCACCCCATAATCTTCATATGATTTATGCAAGAACTACATCATCAGTGGATAAAATCTTTTTAAAAAAAGTAGTTCTGGTAATGGAAACATCCACACACTAATGAAATCAAACCTAATTCTTAAAATTTAGAACAATATTCAGGTGGCACAATCTTGATAAAGTCCTTAAGACAGCTTGTAAAAATTATTTCTTAACCTAGCAGTACTGCTGCATATGGTGAACTAAGTAGCTGTCGGATGAATACCCAAGTTTCTATTTACAGACATTTTTCACAAATTTTCACGATCTGCTAGGGTTCTGCCATTAGAATTTCTTCTCATGTACCCAGCTAGCTGAAGAAATTTTTCTATATAGGTTACTCTTGCTAATATGTGCATTTGCATCTAGTGAAAGTAGCAGTTCATATTTCTTTAACAAAATACACACACATTAGAAAATTTGCTGAAATTTAGACAATGATTCAGTGCCTATAGTTCCTGCCAGACATCTGTTTTCTTGTCCAGATATTATAGAATAAATTTTCACTTTTCATTCTGTCCAAAGTATCAAATCATGAAAACCATTGTCATGAAAATTAAGCAAAATATGTTTCAGCACCTTTAGAAAAAAAAATAGAATCAATTGCATGTTCATGCATGTGCTTTAGGAGCCTGTGCACAGATTTTACTCAAGTTTTTCACACTACAGGTCCATGCATTATTGATGGGTGCTTTTGGTCCTATTTGCGTTTAATATGGAAATTAATTTCATCCTTTCTTGCCCTGAGGTTTCCCTGAAGTTGATAGGCTAACTGACACTGGATCAACGTCCACTTTAGTGGTAAGTACAGAGTTAGTTCATCACGTGTCGGCATTTGTGCGATTTGGTCCTCTAACTTTTTGAATTTATGCAATCAAATCTTTCAGTCTATTGCTCTAACTTAATAATCATATCAATTAATGATGTGGCGTTGCTTGTTGAACCACTAGTTTGGCTTCAAACAAGCAAAAAACAAACGGAAAAAACAAGAAAAAAAAATTCGAATTTGATGTAATAAAAGTACTTGATTATACAAATCAAGAAAGTTAGAGAATTCGATTGCACAACATAAATCTTAGAGGACCGAATTGCACAAATCCAAAAGGTTAGGAGGCTTGATTGCACAAATTTTCTTTTGTAGAAAATCAGAACATTAAAATTTAGTGGAAGAAATTGCATTCTCATATTCACTGTAGCGACCAGGTGGTCTTACAGATCTAACTAGGAGCGGCATCGCTGTAGGCTCGACATTTGTTGATCCAGTTTATATCCCGGAGTACTCCTCCATACCTAATACTTAAAACTTTATTAGCGGCGGCAGGTGGAGCCACTAATACAAGGAGAGAGGAATATTCAGTAAAAACAAGCATATACTTATTAAGCTACTAATCATACTTAACTCTTAATTAATTACTTCCAGATTGTTTTTCTCTGATCTCTGTACGGTCAAAAGAGATTGGGGGATTTGGTGGAAATTTCCGGCCAATACAGCTGTTCTCACGATTACACAGAAAAAGAAAGGCTCAACATGGGAAGTTGCTTTAATAAAAGAAGAAAAAAGGACAACATCATCATCTTCATGGTCACTTCCAGAAAATTGCAGTAAAAGAAGAGAATGTTGTGCAAATCCCAATTTACTTGGCCAAAAAAATTCTGCAACTCCTCTTCTTTATTTTTAATAATTATTAAATGGGTCTAGATTCATATTTTTGTGACGGCAAAATATTCTGAAAATCCCTTTTAAGAAGACAAATTCAAAGAAAAAAAGAAGAAATTTTCTAAAAAGGGTTCAAAAAATTGATCTGAAATTGCACGTGCCTGCCTTTTGCAGAGTGAAGAAAAGGGCCAAAAGAAAAAAAAAGTGAGGCAATAGTTGTAGCGGTAGGTACACATCAAACTTTCTAAAATTAGAAAAAAATTACTTTTTTATTGATAAAAAAGGAATAAAAAAAAGAGGTTGGAATTAGAAAAAGAAGAGAGTGAATAGAATAGAAAAGCAAGTGGTCCAATGCTGACCATGCAACATAAATATCACACTCCTTATGGCATGCTTCACACTTCATATTCTTACCTCCCTCTTTTTACTCCTTTATTCCACTTTTCACTGACCCATATGCCTAATTTCTGCAAAAAAAAATAAAAATTTTAAATTTAAAAAATAAAAAAAAATTATTTAATTGTTGGGCTTACTATAACTTTCATGTTCAACCAACCACTCTGCATTATCCCTCCAGCTCAGGACCAAGACAGGCACAACATCACACGGCATTGACCAATTAAAGAAGAAGGGATGAGAGCGGGACAGAAAAAAAAAAGGAGATTGTTTTTTGTGTGCGCAATTTTTGGTAAATCATGCAATTTCCATGGTGTGAATTGGCATAATTAGAATGACCATAAAAGAAATTTTGTTTTTCTCTTTTGTTTTTCGGGTCATGGAGAGATTATGATTTGTCTGTGGTGTGATTAGCAAACGAGGAACGTGATGATCAACATTAGTGCTGCACCTCAACCCATGACCCAGCTGATGCATCGCTAATAGCGGGTTTAAGACGGATTATCGGACCCTAAACTTGGATTAAATTAGAAAATTTCCAATTACTGAAATTATACACAGGAGGGGGAAGATAATCTTGGTGTGAGATTGGGTTGGTCCAGGAATATTTCTTCTCCTTTAGACAACAACCAAGTGGGAGTCCACTTGCACTTTCCTTCAAAGGAGGCTGAATTATTATTATTATTACTTGCACGAAATAAAATCTTCACTCCCCTTTTTCTAAATTTTTTTTAAATGCTTTTCAACTTTATGCGCAGCTCAAATTTCTTGAAAAGGCTGCAACTTTGCCATTGATTGAGCTTCCCATCACATGCCATTCGCATTATTGAGAAATGACATGCACTTGGGAAATTTTGCAAAAGCCCCTAGAAATTATTTTTTTTGTGAAGTAGTGGGGGATGGACGTGCATTTGCTTTTTTTAGGGAAATTAAACATGTTTTAAGTATCAAATTAAGCGCGTTCGCCGCCGTCGGATGACGGGATCGAAGCTCAGATCCAAATTAATCTATGTGTTTGCTATGGGGTCCAATGCAATAGCAGGTTCGAACGGGCCCTCGGATGAATTAATTAACTTTAGAATAATCCAAATACGATCCAAGCACTAAACAGCTCCTTACAATAAGTCATCAAGGCCAGCTGGAGAAAAACCCAATTTGGATTTTAATCAAATTTGAATTAGTCCCTAATGACAGCTCTCCTTTTAACGACGAGGCGACTGCTCCTGATCAGCTATTTATAGTCAGTCCTGATGCAATCCCTAAAGTCATCATCACTCCCCCCCACCAAGCTAAGCCACCTCCCTCTCCTCTCCATCGCCGGTTCTCCCCAACCCTTTGTTAGGAGAGAACGCCGGGATTCACTAGGCATTGGCCGGCGGCAGCGAGTTTCCCCGGGCGACCACCGATGACGAGTCCCGCCGCCGGCGGCGGCCCCGAGAGGGGTCGCCTTTGGCCGGCATTGGTCATGGCGTTGGCCGTGCTCGTCGTCTCGAGCAATGTAGGCTCAGCCTCCGCCGACGGCTACACGTACTCTTCCCCTCCTCCGCCTTACGAGTACAAGTCCCCGCCCCCACCTCCGCCGTCTCCTCTGCCGCCGTACGTGTACAAGTCGCCTCCACCACCATCGCCATCCCCTCCACTTCCGTACGTCTACAAGTCTCCACCGCCGCCGTATGTTTATAAGTCTCCTCCACCACCCTCACCGTCTCCACTGCCCCCGTACTTGTACAAATCTCCTCCACCACCGTCACCTTCCCCACCGCCACCTTACTACTATAAATCTCCACCCCCGCCCTCACCCTCGCCACCACCGCCATATTACTACAAGTCTCCGCCGCCGCCGGAGAAGTCTCCTCCTCCGCCTTACTATTACAAGTCGCCGCCACCACCTTCCCCTTCTCCTCCACCACCTTATTACTACAAATCTCCACCTCCACCATCTCCATCTCCTCCTCCACCTTACTACTACAAATCACCACCGCCACCAAAGAAATCTCCCACGCCACCATACTACTACAAATCGCCGCCGCCGCCCTCGCCATCTCCTATGCCCCCATACTACTACACTTCACCACCACCGCCGAAACACTCACCTCCACCCCCATACTACTACAAATCACCGCCACCACCCTCCCCATCTCCTCCACCTCCTTATTACTACAAATCTCCGCCGCCGCCGGTGCACTTCCCTCCGCCACCATACTACTACACATCTCCGCCTCCTCCGGTGAAATCCCCTCCTCCACCGACTCCATACTACTACAAGTCGCCGCCGCCGCCGCCGCCGCCATCGCCATACCCTCACCCGCATCCGCACCATGTGGTCGTCAAGGTGGTCGGAAAGGTCTACTGCTACAGATGCTACGACTGGGGATACCCTCTGAAATCCCACGACAAGAAGCACCTCAAAGGTACACAACACACTCTCTCTCTCTCTCTGACCAATTTGATTATCTTATTACATTAGTCATTTTTTTTATAATTACTATGACAGAAACAAATTGTACTAGGAAGAGCCAGACAATATTTGTTAGCTAATTTACATTAATTTCTATAGAGTAGGTCGGTAATAATTCGCACGGCCTTAGTGATCAGTCAAATCATGTAGAGTGATTTTTAGTGAATGCAAGGAGGGTCACGATCTTGGATCAGATGGGGCTTCTAATTTTCCACAACTCTTAGAGTCTCCGGAGTAGTTGAAGGCGATAGTGGAGTCCAACTCATCGTGAAAATTCCATATTTTTTCCTGTTCATTTCAGATTATACATCCTTTTTTTTTTGCCGGCTATAGCAATAATTGCGAAATCCCATTTAGGCTAAAATTCCCTGTACATTAATCACCTCAATTAGCATAAAAAAGAGCTTAATTAGCTAATCTCGAACTCAGTAACCTCTCACGTTTGGCCACATGCATCGCAATATAAAAACCAAAAAATATTACTCTGCAAGTGCATGATAGGTCAACGGCATCCCGTCCGTGCAAAAACAGTGTTGTTCTAATATTTATTCGTATAAGTGCTCAACATATATTATATCTTGGGATGGCTTGTCCTTTCTTCTGTGTTTAATTGAAAATGACAAAATTGGTTGATTGTAGTAGGTGATGGTTATTTGTCCTGTATTTGACTCGTATCTTGTTGGTCGTTTCTGAACGTCTACGGGATTCTCGTCACATGGGATTATGAATTCGTATCTTATGTTTATGTTGATGTTGATTCTTTTGTTTGTGTGTGACTGGAGCAGGCGCCGTCGTGGAGGTGACCTGCAAGGCCGGCGAGAAGGAGATCAAGGCATACGGCACGACCAAGATCAACGGCAAGTACAGCATCACGGTCGATGGGTTCCACTACGGCAAGGCCGGCGATGCTGAGGAGTGCGTGGCGAAGCTCCATGCCGCGCCCAAAGGCTCGCCGTGCAACATCCCCACCAACCTGCACAATGGCAAGAAGGGGGCGATGCTCAAGGTCAAGTCGAAGTCCGAGTACGAAGTTGTGCTCTATGCTAAGCCCTTCGCCTATGCCCCGAAGACTCCTTACAAGGAGTGCGAGAAGCCCAAGCCCAAGCCTGAGCCCATGCCCCCTCCTTACCACTATACTTCCCCACCGCCCCCGACGCCTTATCTCTACAAGTCTCCGCCGCCGCCGCCCACTTACATCTACAAGTCGCCACCCCCTCCGACTTACATGTACAAGTCTCCCCCGCCACCACCATACATGTACAAGTCTCCACCGCCACCACCATACATGTACAAGTCCCCCCCACCGCCTCCACCTACTTACGTGTATAAGTCTCCACCGCCGCCGCCGTATGTTTACAAGTCTCCACCGCCACCCGCATATATCTATAAGTCTCCACCACCGCCATCGCCCGCTTACATCTATAAGTCACCTCCTCCACCACCATATATCTACAAGTCTCCACCCCCGCCTCCTTATGTCTATAAGTCCCCTCCACCGCCGCCATACATTTACAAGTCGCCTCCTCCTCCGCCATACATCTACAAGTCTCCTCCTCCACCCCCACCGACTTACATCTACAAGTCCCCTCCACCACCACCCTATGTCTACAAGTCTCCTCCACCACCGCCGCCGACTTACATCTACAAGTCGCCTCCTCCTCCACCATACATGTACAAGTCTCCTCCTCCACCCCCACCGACTTACATTTACAAGTCCCCTCCACCGCCGCCATACATCTACAAGTCTCCACCACCACCATCCCCATCCCCTCCACTACCACCATACTACTACAAGTCCCCACCGCCGCCGGTGAAACCTTACTACTACAAGTCTCCCCCTCCACCATCGCCGTCTCCCCCACCACCATACTATTACAAGTCCCCGCCTCCACCATCTCCCTCACCACCTCATCCCTACTATTACAAGTCACCACCTCCTCCGTCGCCATCTCCACTACCACCCTACTACTACAAGTCCCCACCGCCGCCGGTGAAACCTTACTACTACAAGTCTCCACCCCCACCATCGCCGTCTCCCCCACCACCATACTATTACAAGTCCCCGCCTCCACCATCTCCCTCACCACCTCCTCCCTACTACTACAAGTCACCACCTCCTCCATCGCCATCTCCACTACCACCCTACTACTACAAGTCCCCACCGCCGCCGGTGAAACCTTACTACTACAAGTCTCCACCCCCACCATCGCCGTCTCCCCCACCACCATACTATTACAAGTCCCCGCCTCCACCATCTCCCTCACCACCTCCTCCCTACTACTACAAGTCACCACCTCCTCCATCGCCATCTCCACTACCCCCCTACTACTACAAGTCCCCACCGCCGCCGGTGAAACCTTACTACTACAAGTCTCCCCCTCCACCATCACCCTCTCCACCTCCTCCATACTACTACAAATCCCCACCGCCACCATCTCCTTCTCCGGCGCCTATTTACATCTACAAATCGCCACCACCTCCATCACCATCTCCTCCACCACCATACTACTACAAGTCCCCACCACCACCAATGAAATCTCCGCCGCCACCATACCATTACATTTCCCCACCACCGCCGTCACCATCTCCACCCCCTCCTTACGTCTACATGTCACCACCTCCCCCTTCACCATCCCCACCTCCCCCCTACCATTACACATCACCTCCACCGCCGGTGAAGCCGTACCACTACATGTCTCCACCACCACCATCACCATCCCCACCTCCTCCCTACCATTACACGTCACCTCCACCACCGGTGAAATCTCCACCACCGCCGTACCACTACATGTCTCCACCACCACCATCTCCACTTCCTCCTTATGTCTACAAGTCACCACCTCCCCCTTCACCATCCCCTCCTCCTCCCTACCTCTACACATCGCCACCACCGCCGGTGGAGTCGCCTCCTCCCCCGGCATACATCTACGCATCGCCACCGCCTCCAATTTACTAAGCTCAAAAGGCTTAGTCACGTACCAACTCCAATCATGTATGTCCATAATCTTTAAGAAGCTTATGCAATTAGCACATTTTCTTTCACGTGTTCCTAGTAACACTCACGGATTTGATCTAATTTTGGTGTTGCAGATGTTAGTTTGCAGAATGTAATAAAGGAGGGCTTCGAAATGAAGAGAGTTAGACTTCAATCTTCCAATCCTGCTTCATCGAATAAGGATCTGAATGCTTCATCAAGACACAACCTTCATCGATCAGACCAAGTTTCTTCCACTTCCTTGGTGACCATGTTACAAGTTGCGCTGTTCTTATATTCAAGTGGGAAATGGCTTCAAAGAGCTTTCTGATACAGAGGAAAAGAAACAGGGTACTAGATTGGAGAGACAGAGATAGTGCATGGAAGCCCCTATTGGCATTTTCTTTTCGTTTATTTTTCCTTGAAGTTTTGTCTGATTCTTGTCTAGATTCCATCTAATTTATTGTTGTATATTCTGTACGTATGGGCTTGTTTGGCGGGCTTCTGTTTATTCAAGGTCAATTGTTTCTGGACCCTCTTGTGCTTTGTGCAACAACCACTTTAGAAATAAAGAGAAACACAAGTTCTCTCAATTTGAAACATTCTCATACCTATCTTGATGCCCCTTTCGACTCAGAACCAAATTATACACCTAACATAGCCAAAGAACAGAAAAGAAACACAAAGAAAAAACCACTAATGTATGCTTTTATATAGTCAACACACATGTACCAGAGCAATTGCTTCAGAATATCCAGTACTGTGAAGGAAACTCTGCCTCAATCGTTGTATCAGCTAGTTGTAATTACTAATATACTGTCCCACGAAGCATGAGCATTTTGATGAATATCGGGTTAAATTTGTGCCAAAGAGATGATCAGTTTAACATAATGAAATCCTGCTTAGAGCGTGAGTCGTTTGCTTGGAAAGTCTTTTGGTTCTGATCATTGTCTGTGCACTCTGTTTTGCAGCTCTGAGCTCTCTGTTTTGTCCCTATTGAAAGTGCATACCATTTCCATTGCGGATCGCTTGGGCAAGTTTCAGTGGTCCTCTAACTCATCTAAAACATTAAAATCATAAAAAATGTCAAATTTCTGAAGAGAGAAAAAGGTTACTGGAAGGACAAATCCAATAAGAGACCGAATAATAAAGTGATTTCAGCTTTTTTATCTCGATTACTTTTTTTGGTTGGCGCATAAAAAAAAAGAAGAAAACACAAAAGTAAACTACATAGTATCTACTATATATTAGTAAAACAGGAGCTTAGAGAGTGTTCACTCCTATGCTCGCTACCTGGTATATTAGATTACTATTGCATAAATAATACATTATAAGAAAGTTACCTTTGCTATTTTAATTTTGTTTTTCAATAAAATATTTTTATTTTTTAAAAATATTATGTTGTTTATTTAGAATTTATTTATCTAGTTTTCATAGTTATCAGGAATTAATCTCAAATTTTATGTAGAAAAAAATTACTGTCAAAGCAAATATGCTCGCACAGGGCCAAGTATGGTAGGCAAGCTGTGACAACCCGACTCCTCCATCCAGCCGTGACAAATCCCTCAGTTTCGGCTAATACCAAATAATTCTGAAGTCGTACAGGTCCGGTCCATGACTCTCGGGTTGATCTCGAGAAAATTGACGACGCGGTCGTGCCGAACAGGTATCAGGCCTGAAAGTCACCGCTCAAGCCGGGCTAGCCCTGATTAAGGATATTAGTTTCTCTTTAGGAAAGCAACCGTGTTCCCGGGACCGAGCCACCTTGAATTGGCCGAGACCAAGCAGGAAATGGCTTGTCCAAACCTGTCCATTTGCTTGCGCGGCACGGAGCAACATTCCCATCCGCTTCCTAAGTCGGGCTTTAACCAACAGGCATGCGGCGCTGCTGGTAAAGGGATTGAGTGGATGGGGCCAGAGAGTACCAGGGTCGGGACTCGATCGCTGTCAGCACCAATCGTCCTAAAAAAAAGTTGGGCTTTCAAATTAACAATGGTTCGTGAGAAATTGGGTTTGGATCATGAATCTTGGGCTGGGCTGTGATTTGTGATTGGGTCGCTTGGAACTTCTTCCACTACAACATCGTCCTCTGTTTTCTTGAACTCCGGTTTCAATGTTTTTCTTGGACAGAAAGATTCTTCTTTGACATCCTCCTCCTGTCGAAATCCTTCGATTCGGGAAGTTTCCATCTGATTCTAGGGTTCTTCGGGCGTCAGCTCACGTCTCGTTCGTCCTCTCTTTCTTGATACGCTTGAAGGTTTGAGACCAGGGGGAGCAGCCGCAGGAGGCGGGCACGCATCGAAAGGTTGCAACTTTGACAGGTCCGACGCAGATCCTCCCAACCCATCAAAGGAAGGAGATGGTTAGTTCCCGCTCGCTCTGCTGGAATTTCAAAATCTGGCTGTCTTTCGACCTCTGTTCGTTCAATTTGATGGATCGTGTGTGTGCAGGCGGCGAAAATTCTCGCGAACCTGATCGTGATGGGCGGTGGTATCTTAGCTCGAGCTTTCGTTCAGGCGTATCGTCAAGCCCTTGCCAGTAAGTTTCATTTTTTTTGGGCCAATTCTAGCGTTTGGATTGCTTTCGTTGGAAGGTGAACGCCCCTCACTAATGAATTGTGTTGGCAGTAGTGAGTGGTGAAAAGAAAATTTAATTAGACCCATCTGAGATTGCTATTGCTTTTTGGGTGGTGTCGCCGGAATTGAATTGATCAGTTATGGTAGATGTGAGGCAATCTAATGAACTCATAAAGGTTTGAGCAAGGAAATGGTTGGAACTGCTAAGCGTTGGTTGTTGGCGATGGGTCTTAGTTGATTTATTTTCAAAACCCAAGACGGTTTTCTGTTTTTCCTGTTAGTGTGGGATTTTCTTCGGAGAAGCGCTTTTCTTGTTAATGCGCATGTTATCGCGTTCTAGCGACAAAAGGGAAACGTGGGATTTAGATGGAATTATGGTATGGATGACGAAATGTCATGAGGAAAACGTTATCGGGGTGTGTTCAGGAATGTCATTTAAGTGCCGGAAATTGCCATTTTGGATGTGCGTGACATCGGATAATGCCCAAATTGTTGTGACTTGTTCAGTCAAGAAATTTGAGTTCTTTAGAGTAGAGTAGAGTTACCTCACCATAGGGCTTTTTAATGCAATTTAGTACTTCCAGTCTTCCAGATGCTCTGCGATTGGGTTGTAGCTAATGTAGGTGAAACTCACTCACAAAATCAGACAGTTAGATCGATTGTAGCCATTAACATTTATTTTTTAACTCTCCGACCTGATGTTAATTGACTTATGACCCTCTAAAAACTGATCCAATGTCGCTGCTTTTGTGATCCCATCAATCTTATGGCCTGTCCTTCAAATTTCAGCCCCTGTGATTTTAGTTTACAGCTAGGATTCGCCCTTTAAGTGTTTTGGGATTCCAACAAGTACTTGGTTAGCACAGTTCATTTCTTTTGGTGCATTTCCAATAGCCCTTTGCAAGCATCTAAGTTGTAGTGATCTTTCAAATTTCTACTTTTGCTTTGTGCAATTGGTTCCGAATAAATGGAAGGACCATTTTGCACGGATCAAACAAGTTAGATGAGTCAACTGTCAAGAAAGGAAGTGGAGGAAATTGGAAAAGAAAAGAACGAGTTTGTTGTTCAGAATTTGGATTTACTCCTTTCTTTACCTACTGTTCTTTGGACATACCACTGAAAATGAGTTGCCTCCTAGATTAGCCTGCAAGATGTCAAATTGATAATCCTTGACCTAAACGCTAGGATTAGGGTTTGTTGTGTTGATTGTCCTTAACCTGATTGATCGGGGTTTCTCATCTCTTCTGCGGAAATTAGTGAGGCTGCTTTGGTCTGCCAAAAACTATTTGTGTCCATGGGATATAGCGCGTACTTCAGATCTATGTTGAGAACAAAGCACGATGTTCTTTAACGGTATTGCCTTATATGGGATAAAACGTAATTAGAGGACTTATCTCTATTTGTTCTAGATGCCTCAAAAACTGGTGTTGCCCAAGAAACGTTACAGAACACTGTTCGCCGAGCTAGCAAGGCCATGACAGAGCAAGAAGCTAGGCAGATTCTTGGTGTGACCGAGGAAACCGCTTGGGAAGATATATTGAAGGTATTCAAAATTTTGCACATAAAAAGCTTTTTGTATGATGCCCATATGCTTATGTCGGTCTGTTCTGAGACAAATCTCTTCTGGCCTAGCAGAAATATGATGTTTTGTTCGAAAAGAATGCAAAAAACGGGAGTTTTTACATTCAGTCTAAGGTTCACCGGGCTAAGGAATGTTTAGAGCCTGTATATCAAGGTAAAGGCCAAAGTACCCCAGGTTGATGGTCCAGAGCTTGGGCATAATCTCGTAGTTTGTACTTTCATGGAGCGTATCGATCGGGTGCCTAAAAGGTGGAATTTGTCGACATATTTTGCACTGTATGTATTTTGTGTTTTAAGTTCATCCCTGCCGCTGAATAATGTATTCTCATTGCTAATTCATGTAGCAGCTGGCCGGCAAAGTTACGTTGTCTGATAATAATCAGCAAAGATATGAATGGGTTCTGTACAGAGTAATGATAATGACTTACAATTTTTTCTATTTCTCTCTCTTTGGGTGATTATCTTTTTCTGGCTCGCTTGTGGCCGAGATGATCTCTTTGGTTTAGCTGATGATGATTGATGACCTTACCTGCTTTAAATCGCATACACCAGCATGATAGTTTTGCTTAAATTTCGATGAGGTACAATTGCGAGTCGACAATGTTCCATTCAACTTGACGTAGAACCTTCAAATTGCGCGAAATTATTATTGAATTGAGATGATTTTCATGTGCTCGCCGTGTAAACTTTAATCATCAAAAGCTACTTTTTGAGGTCATCGGATTGGAAGGGAAAGTAAAAATGTGAAAATCAATTCCAATGAAGGGAAAATGAATTCAAAGAGTGATCGGAAAGACAGTAAGAAATGGATTCAAATAGTTGTCCGCCGTGTTATACGTAATCAATTTATTTAAAATCAATATATTGCCTTATTAGGTATACTTAACAAGTGTCTCGAGATACTTATTAATAAAACTTTACTGTAATATAGAAATTCTCGGAAGATCGACGCTGTTTCAAATGGACAAACTACAGTTCTAGTAATATGCTTTTGTTGTTCTGTTGTTGAAGATTGTCCGTTGTTTTCTGAACTTGCTTAATGGTATGACTTAAATATCAGATATGCAACCACCTCCAGAGGAGATTGAATACTTCAACAAAGTATTATTACAATCAGCTTCCAGTCTGAACCCTCCATAGATCTAAGCATATTCTTGGAGCATTCTGCTCTGACCAGAATCTGACCACCCCTCTGTATTTTCTTTGGCCAGATTGGCAACCCTTTGTGGAAACTTCAAAGCCCCAGGTTTGACTTCTGTATCGTTGCCTTGCCTGACTGTACATTCTGTCCAAAGGGTGACCCATTCTCACCCGAAATATCTAAATCCATCCCATTTTCATTAGCCTGACAAAAATTCATGAGATATGGTTTTCGTTTTTGCCCAATTTCCTTCAATTTAGTTATTTTCCTATTATGGATTTTCTTCAAATTTAGACTTGGTATTATTTAGAAGATACAAATACGCCTTTTCTTCACCGTTGTTTTTATCGCGACTTATCAGTTCTTCGTCGTATTTATCTTAAATGCTCGCTTGTGTGATAAATATGTTATTTCTTTTATTGATTAGTCTCCGAAAGGAATATCAAGTCTTATCATTTTCGACATCGAATAATTGATGAACTCTTTTGCCGCCAATGAAACTTTTTACACGCGGTATGCAAGATTATAGGAATATCTAAAAACGATTATGAAAAAAGTTATGCAAATTGAGACACCTTGATATTTTTCATAAACACTCCACTGATGATATTAATTATTGTCAATTCAAAACGAATGAAATTTAATTTTCCTTTTTGATTTTCTCTTCTTTTTATGCAAAACCGTGATCTAATTTAATTTCATCTTTTACATTTTCACATTGCTGAATTTTGTTTTGGCAAATCTTTAAAGAGGGCTTCTTTTGTTTCGTCTTGTCGTCTCATAACCTATAATGTATCTATAAAAGACAACACGCAAGAAAAATTTTTTTATGGTAATATGCATAATGAAAATAAGAAGGTTTATAAATATTTGACTGTGTTATAAAGTTGTTCACGTTCAAATTTTTCTGGAGTCAATTTGACAATTAATCTATAAATTTGCTAGATAACGTGGCAAAGAATTAGATTTATTGAAAAATCTTCTGTTCCACAAAGTTAATATATATAAAAGTAGAATCTAAAAAAAAAGAGTAAGAAAAAACAAGGCGCATTTAACACGCACGGTAACATCTACTTAAAAATTCAAGAAAGAATCCGTGATATCGGTAATTATGGTAACAAAATCCTACATAGAAATAGAAGAAATTAGAAAAATTGAAAGAAAGAGAATGTTTGGGGTTCACCAGTTTAAATGTCAATTGGATCAGTAAGGGTAAATTTTTATTATTTATTTTTAGTAACAATGGTTGGATTTTTAACCATTGAGGGATAGGAATAGCTCCACCCTTTGTCAAGTCATGACTTAATTAATGCGAAAATAAATTTTATATTTACCCGTTGGTCGAAAACTTCATTTACATTACGTTCGGCGGAAAACATACATTCGCATTACCCGTATCATCAATCAAATTATCACTGGAGTTGCATCTTCGAGCTATTTTTATTATGGTACAGCAAACACGAAGATTGAATTTTAAGAAAAAAAAAATTTCGATTCCTATAAACACATCGTATGCCCGATTCGTTTGTATTCATAACAAAATTGTAGGCGATCGAGACGAAAATGCTCTAAAAGTCTTTCTTTTTTTGGAAGTAAACTATATATGTTTCATCGGTTTAGATTCATCTAAATCGGTAAAAAAAAATGCAATAATTCGTAAAAACCCACGAAGCAAATTAAAGTACTTACGTTGTATAATTGCAAAATGGATTTTTTTTTTCCCTTTTTAGCAAAAGTTTAAAAATTTTGGTGCATGAGCTGGATTGGTAAATCCATCGTTAAGGTCAATCTTTTACCTCACCAATCACCATCCATAAAAGAAAAAATCAATTGAATCGGACAAAAAGAAATTATCAATTTTTTAATCCGTGCACTTCTGATTTGAGAATCGTTCCACTTTGTGGGACCAGCTGAGCATTTTGGCTCACCCCCAAAAAAAATATAAAATAAAGTACTAATTTTTTAGTATATAAATAATAATAATTATAAAAATAAAAAAGTTGGTGAGTTTTAACGATTGACAAGTCCAACGTTCCAGAAGCGTGCTGGCTCTTTTCTTCGGGCAGCTAATAAATTTCTTCATTCCTCGCGGGCCAAAAAGAATTTCATATTTTATACAAAAATTTGTTCGTCGAGGAAATTAAAGCCCCCTTTACAACGATAAATCGCCATCAAATCATCTTCTCGAGATTTTCATTTAGGCCGACCGGAAAATCCTACCGCGTGAATTTATTACTGGCCGCGAAATTATATTGTAATTTTTAATTTAGAAATATACAGATGCTGTCGAAACATGCCGCTCTATTCTATCGGGTTCCAAATGCCGCCACCATATAATTTGCGCTTAATTTGTGTTTCCCGTCAATTATGCTCGGGAGACAGCTAATCAATTATGGGGTTCTTGCACACAGCCGCCACCGGAAAAAAGAAAAATGGGAAGGAAAAAAAATAATCAGAAGCGCCGGAAAAAAGGGGAAAAAGGAAAAATAGAAAAGCGGAAAACAAAAAAACAAAAAAAACCACAAAAATTAAATGAATAAAATAAAAAATAAGGGGAAAAAAAGGGGGAAATTCATCTCGGCCTCCTATGTTTTCTGCGTGGATGGTGCGCTGTGTCCATCTCTCTTCTCTCTCTCTCTCTCTCTCTCTCTCTGTGTATGCGCGCTTCTCATAGCGAGAGGGAAGGAAGAGAGAGAGACAGCCCAACACCGACCCTTCTTCCTTGCCGATCCTCTCTCTCTCTACCTCTCTCTCTCTCTCTCTCTACGAGGCCGTCGTTGGGTTTGGCCGTCAGCTTCCGGTTCTGGTCGGCCGAGCAGCACATCCGATCGCCCAGGTAAACGGAGCCGAGCCCCGTCGTTTCCCTCCCCCTCCCTCCGGCGGGGGTGGATCTACGTTTCTGGCGAGCTTTTCCGTCGTGGGTCGTCCTTAGATTCGTCCCCTTGCGTCTGGGTCTTGCCCCATTTTAGCCGTGGTTCAGCTCGGGTTCCGTTTTATTGTTGTCGCGGTGGGCTCCTGTGCATTGCTGCGGATGCTTGGTTTGGATCTCCCCGTGCTCCGGAATTCGTTTCTCCATCGGCCTCGCTTCTTGATCTGATGGTTTCGATCTCTGTCTCTCGTGACGGGGAGTGCTCTGTTTTTTTGTGGGATTCCTAAATTTGGGCGTCTTTGCGCGGGTGGTTGTTATGAACACGGGCAGGATTGATTGGAAAGTTTTGCGCTTTTGGATTGTCAGTGATCTGTTGCCGTTGTGTGCGAACGGGCGATGATTGGAAATTCTTGGGCTTTTGGGTTGTGATGGATCTGTTAGAATTGTGGAGGGGATTGAGATGTTGAGCTCGTGTCGGAATTTGATGTTTTGAAGGGAGCTGATCTGATGTTGTTTGCTAGGAAAATGAGGGTACAGCTGAGCTTTTCATACCTTTGAGGATCAGTGTTGAGGGAGTCAACGTTCATGCTTATCTTCACCTGCTCTGAATTTTTAATGAGTTGTAATTTGTGGAGCGATAAGGCACCACTCGGTAGTTTCCAATCTGTGCTTCGATAAGTCTACGGCAATTTGGGAATTGGGAAATCTTTTCGGTTGATTCAAATGATCCGTGCTGCATCGCAGAGAATATATTAATTCGGCATCCAGACATAACCCTTTTTTAATTGTGTATTTTCAATTGCCTGTATCGAAAGTGGTGAAGTTTCTAAGCTTGTTTGAATTTCTAAGCCATGCTTTTTGATTTGCAGTCTTTCGGCAAAGAGTGCATAAGGAAGGTGTTCTCTGCCCAAGACTCCAAGAAGTCTTTTGATCTAAACATCCACAGCAATGAAGAAGGTCTTTGATCAAACTGTCAGGGACATGTAAGTCATAGCAACTACCGGGAAAAGTTCCATTATTTAAAGTTTAACGCCCTGGAGACATTTGAATTATGTAATGTGCAAGGTCTTTTGGTTGGCAGTTTTTTTTTGTGAGTTAAGTTAAATTTCGCACCCAGAAAACTGCAGAATCGAGATTAATCATGACCATGTTGGTGTCTGTGGAATCTTGGTTACTTTGAAATTGGAATTACTACTGATTTGGGTTTCGCGTTTTGCAGTAAGAGGGAGGTGAATAAGAAAGTGCTTAAAGTTCCTGGAATAGAACAGAAGGTAATGATTGTTTTGTTTTTGTTCAGTTAATAGCCTGATAATTAACCTTTAAATATTTTTCTGATAAGTAATGTTGGAGTGAGAGTAGTGTCTAGTTGTTGCTTCTTCTCAGAAGAGATTATAAGCATATATTATTCGTTCCATAGATCCACTATACGGTGGTTGATAGGAGCTTTCAGATTTGAGGTAGTTTGGGGGTATATATCAATTTGTGTTGCTTCTAATTCTGCAGCAGTGGGACTTTCCACGTGTTTTAAGTGAGTGCTCTTTTGGTTTTCCAGGTTCTTGATGCCACGAGCAATGAACCATGGGGTCCCCATGGAACGCTTCTTGCAGATATTGCGCAGGCTTCCAGAAACTAGTAAGCTACAAATTGGTCCTCCTTTGCTTGGATTTTGCATCACTGGGCAAGTCAATTTTACTTGCTTTTGACTGTATGAACCGTGCAGTCATGAGTACCAGATGATAATGGGGGTAATCTGGAAGCGGATCAATGATACTGGCAAGAATTGGCGGCATGTCTACAAGGTCATTGTCCTTCTTTGGGCTTAAATTCATCTTATATTTTAATTATTTGAGGTGCTTCTTGGAATTGGTAGTGTCTCCTCTATTCATTGTATCTCACTGCATAACATTTCGGATTGTGGTCTTTTGTACATAGTCAGAGTTATGTTTTCTATTTTGTTATTCTGCTCAAGTGTCTCTCTTCATGCAGGCATTGACTGTTCTGGACTACCTGGTTGCTCATGGATCTGAACGTGTCATAGATGAGATTAGAGAACATGCTTACCAAATATCAGTAATTTTCCATTCTAAATATCTTTGATTTGGCTATGTTGGTCTTGACTGTACTTCCTTTTGCTTTTTCCTTCTTCTTTTTTCTGTTGTTGTTATTGCCTACTTATTTGCTGTTAATAACATACCTGTGTTTTAATCGATCTCGTACCAGACATTGTCCGATTTTCAATACATCGACTCTAGTGGAAGGGATCAGGGAAACAATGTTAGGAGGAAGTCTCAGAGTCTTGTGATGCTGGTGAATGACAAGGAACGGATTATCGAAGTTAGACAGAAGGCTGCTGCCAACAAGGACAAGTGAGTTTACTCTCTAAAAAAGTCGAACTTTATTATTCTTGCCTTTCTTTGCATGTCTCTCTCCGTGTATCATTCTTTTTCACTTCGATTGCGGATGATGAGTGACTCGTCTTCCTTTCTGGACCCTATGTTATTATTTCTTTCTGGTTATCTGGTGGCTCAGATTGGCTTGTTCTTTCTTATTTTTCTCCCATTGAATGGGATTGATAATGCATGGTATTGGATTGGATAAGGATCCCTTTAAAGATACGGCACAACCTATTGGATTGTTGGCTTTGAATTTAGGGTTCACCAGCTCATAGGATCATTTGGACACGATTTAGTTGCTTTTCTTCACCCGGTAAAGTCGGTTGTCCTATTGCTGGCTTTGGAAAATTGCAATTGTTTTTTGCCTACTGCTTCTAAGTTATAATGAAAGGAGAAAATAGCATTTTTTAAAAAATGCATTCAAGTCCTGACCTTCTTCTCAATCCATGAATGAGGCACAAAAGGGTGCCAAACTGTATGGAAGGCTTCCAGGTTGATTTTTTATGTTTGAAGTATGATGTGTCCCCCCTTCTGTGCACAAATAATGTTGTCTGCTTGTATGATAATCTGCATGCAGTTGAATGTCTTCCTGTGGTTAAAAATTTGTGGTTCGATTTTTTTGTCTCGAAACAGGTTCCGAAGCGTGTCATCATCTGGTGGAATGTATAGGCCATCAGGTGCAGGTGATAGATATGATGAGGATCGCTATGAAGGCCGATATGGGAGCAGGGATGAATATGGCTATGGTAAAGAGAGAGAGTGGGGCTACAAGGATGAGGATCGGTACAGTAGAAATGGAGATTCCTATAGTCGCGATGGAGACCGTTATGGCCGAGACTATGAAGAACGTAATGGAAGAGAAGGTGACCGGGATGATGATTACCGAGGAAGAAGTCGAAGCATTGACGATTATCAATATGGCTCATCGAGAAGCAGAAGTCATGATAGAGATAGAGACCGTTCTGTGGATGATGATGGTCAATACTCATCCCGGTACGTGTTTTCCTTTTAGAAGATTGCCCAGACTCTTTTGATTCGAGCATACTACTCAAAATACATTTTTTCCCTTCTCGTGCGAATTCTTTTTACTTTGCTGTCTAGAATAATAATTAGTAAGTCTTTTACTTGGATTAGTCGGGTCATATATATATATATGACATTTGCAAGAGGATGCTGTATATAGCGACGTAAGAACATATGCATGATCTTGTAAACTTTAATTCCTGCATGCACTTTATGATTGTTATAAAACTATTAATGTCTGGTCATCTACTTCAGAGGCAGTGCTGGCAGGGCTGACGATAATACTCAAGATGAGAGGTAATCTCTGCTGATTTTTTGCTTGGTTTTTTTTTTTATGACGGCATGGTCAGCAAGATACTTTTTGATGGGGATTCCTGCATTGGGATTTATGAATAAAGTTGCTACATTTGACAGGCGGCTTGATCGAAAGTACTCTGAGCAAAACATTGGTGCGCCTCCTAGTTATGAAGAAGCTATTGGTGACTCTCGAAGTCCTGCTCACAGTGAAAGGTACTTCTTTTTCACTATAGGAATGTGATAGTTTGTACTGTTTCCCTTTCTGCTCTTGTTCAGTCTGTTTTTCATTCTAATCAATTGCAGGGATGTAGAGACTTCAGCAACATCTGCCCCTAAACCTTCTTCACCCCCTGTCACTGATAACACTAGCCCACCAGCTAATGCCCCTGGTTCTTCTGCATCTCCTGCAAAGCAGGAATTCGAGACTTTTGATGAGTTTGATCCACGTGGTCCACTTTCAGGTAAACATAATTTTAGTTCATGACATCACATGTGATTCTTTCCTAAGTTAGGTTTGTGTGCTCATATGCTAGAATGTGTATGTGTTTAGATTTGTTTGGTTGTACATTTATGTGGTGTAATCTATGAGCTAATATACAAGTTGACATTTCATATAGCAATTTAGTAACCTGCCATAACACCGTTTCTTTCGTAAAATGGAATGGTTGTCTCTAAATTTCCTTTTTCTAGCATTAATCTTATAGTCTTCACCATTCTTAGTCACAAAGTTCTGATTTTGGAATCTACCGGAACCTAATTCTCGATGATATCTGGTGCAAATGGTTAAAATGAAAGCTATTTGCCTCTCTCCCTTGAGGCTGCTAATTAGTGCTAAGTGACAATTGCGTGAGTATTCCTGTTCCAAAGTTACTAGTTCCTTTCTTTTCCTTGCATCTAGATATAATGTCCTGAGGCAATATGAGTTTGGTCATTGAGGAGCTTTTTTTTTTTTTTTTCATTGAGGAGCTTAGGTAGGGCCTCTTTGTCAATTTTTTCCCCGTAATCAGTGAAAACTCATTATTGTTACTTCCTTTGATCAGCTGCCCCTACTACATCAAAGAGTGCAGAAACAGACTTGCTTGGCTCTTTGTCAGATTCATTTTCTGTGAACCCATTAGCTATCATGCCAGTAACATCTGGAACCTCTGCTCCTGAAGCTGATGCTGCAGCTAACACTAACTTTGGACCCACATTTGCTGCAGCTCCACCATCAGCATCTAATGTCATGAACCAGGTGCAATTTTATGTCTTGAACGCAGCAACTTTAAGAACTGCTTTTCTTCTCGGTTAATAATGATGAATAACTGATGGGGCATCATAAATTCCTGTTGGTTTTTCCTGGATTTGCACGCCATTGTATTGGGACCTCATCTCTAAAAGCATTGCGGGTTTATGGTGTGAATCTTATGTTGGTGAAAGCTTTTATGAAAAACATGGACTAGGTTCAGATTCAATGCAACCGGACATGATGAGCCTCTTACATAATTTGTATATGTTGCTAGGTACTTACCGTTGAAATTCTTATTTGCAGCTAATGTGCATCTTCAATGGCCCCCTACCTTTTGCATTGTTCCATACTGTCTATATCATAGATTCGCCATGCTTCTGCAGTTTAAGTATTAATTATTAGCCTCATTTGATAGGAGTGTGATTTATGCCAGATATAACCCATGCAAGTATTGTTACTATCTAATCCAGGCAGTGAATTGAAACTTGGTTCGGGTTCATAATTGCAAGTTGGTGCGTACCTATGCACCAAGCTAAGGATTAGTTTAAATTTTGGTGGTGAAAATAGAATGAAAAATTTGGCCTCATGCAGAAATCTGTGGAGAAACTTCTTCTGTCATATTGATTCCTGAGTTTCTCTCTTCAATTGCAAGCTTTAATGTCTTTTTATAGTCCTTTCTGATCTTAATTAAGGTCCACTTCGTGTTCTGGTAATTTGCAACTTCTACAATGATTTTGTGGATGCAGTCATTTGAAGATCCATTTGGTGATTCACCTTTTAAAGCTACCTCAACTGGAGACAACGCCCCTGTCCAACCACCAGCTGCCACACCTGTAGCTACTACTATGCAGCCAAATGTGAACCAAAATGCTGAAATGCCTCAAATGGGTGGCTCAATGGCAGAAACAACAGTCAATTATGACTTTGGGGGTTCATTGTCTGGCTTAACATATGCTCCAGCTAGCGCACAGAATTCACCGTTTTACTCTGAGCCTAACCCAAACACTGATATTTTGGCGGATATTCTTCCTCCATCTGGACCTCCAGGCGTCGCTGCACCACAGGCACCATTTTCTGTGCCAAGTGGTCATCCTGCTCAGTTGCAAGCTAGTATGTACGGTAACTTTGGTTCACAGAGTGGTCCCGTTGCTCCGGTAGCTTCACAAGTCCCTCCGCATATGCAAACTGGACCGATGCCGCAATTTAACTATGGGAACTTCCCACAGCAAATGGGAACTTCAGTTCCTAATGGGAATGTCTTCCCACAGGCAGGAGCTGCTCCACCACCACCTCCACACATGGCTCCACAGAATATGCCGCCTGCGCACATGACCGGCGGAAGCTTTTTACCATCAGGAGGTACATCTACCGTAACTTCTCATATGCCCCCACAGCAAGCGTCATTTGGAGGAGCTATACAGCAGAACAATAATGTTCTTGGCAACTTACTTCCACAAACGGGGCAAAATTCTCAGGTGGCTTCGCAGCCACCTCTTTCATCCTCAACTGGTGCACTTGCTATTGTACCTCAACCATCAAAGGACAAGAAGTTCGAGACTAAGTCAACTGTATGGGCTGATACGCTGAGCCGAGGGCTTGTTAACTTGAATATATCTGGACGTGAGTGCTTAAATTCTATTTTCATCAACTTTTGTTTTTAAATAGTAGGCTGCTAGCATGTCACCGAGATGATGATGCCATTGTGGATTTCTAAATGCAGCAAAGACCAATCCACTAGCAGACATTGGAGTTGATTTTGATGCAATAAATCGGAAGGAGAAGAGGATGGAAAAACAGTCTGCTGCTCCTGTAACATCCACGATCAACATGGGCAAAGCTATGGGATCAGGTACGGGAATGGGCCGCGCTGGTGCTAGTGCTCTTAGGCCTCCACCTAACCCTATGGCTGGTTCCGGCATGGGCATGGGCATGGGAATGGGAATGGGAATGGGCGGTGGTCAAGGGTCTGGCATGGGCATGAATCAGCCTATGGGCGGTTATGGAGGCATGAATCAGCCTATGGGCATGGGAATGGGGGTGAATAATATGGGGATGGGTATGAATGCGGGGTATAACATGGGCATGGGGATGAACATGGGAGTTGGGCAAGGAGCTCCGATGCAACGGCCAACTGGCGTACCTCCCGGATCATCGATGCCGGGTGGTTATAACCCCATGATGGGTGGAAATCCGTATGCTCAACAGCCATATGGTGGTGGATATCGGTGAAAGGTAGTGAAGTGTGTGCCCCAATGGCGAAAGCGGTAAAATAATTACATGATAATTTTGTGAGGTGTGGATGTTGTCATAGCGAACAGGCACTATTCTTGTCCTTACTCTGCGGTAAGTCTCCTTGAAGATACAAAGGCATAGTTTCTCGTATGATTACGGGTAATATTCTGTCTGCTGCAAAGTAATTTTGTATGGTCTGGGACTACCGCGCCTTGAACTATAGAGTTGAGATAGGTACCCTCTGTATTGGAGTTGCTGTGATATTAAGCAATGGTATAGGACATGCTTCTGGGATTATCAGGAACTCTCCCTTTTACAGCTATTCTTTTTTTTAACTTTTTGTATCAGTTGCCTGAGATTCTTAGTGTGATTGAGCATGAAGAATAAATACTTGTACGTCAATTTTTGTATAAAATTGTGCTTTGCTTATGATTTTGGGGACTGGAGATTGGTTGTCATGCTCTTCTTGCTTAGACGTGGCAGTCTAGCATATTAACTATCAGGAAGATTGTTATGAGACTGTTGAACAGTCTGGATGGACTGATTAAGAAAAGCTATGAGGGCATGGTTATAGTTCTCGAAGACTTTAAGAGGACAAGTATCATACACGTTTTGCCATTATAAGAAGTATTTTTCTCGAAGTGCATGTAGTCAATGAATCCAAAAGGATGTCGGGTTGAAGCTGGAAGGCGATTTAGAATGGTGTCGACTTAAATCAACATGGATTACGATGATGGTGTCTGGTGACTATAGCTTGTGGATGAAAAAGGCTGGCTCCCTCGCGAGGCACCAAACACCATTCGGCATCAGTTTAGACTTGTTTGATCCAGCTCTAGCTAGGACATTCGCAGGACGCCCATTTTGTCCCATTAGGGAGGTTCTTTGACCATAATGCGATCTGGCGAGCTCGGGTACCTCAACCTTCTCGTAACTCCCTAAGCCGGACCGCCTTAAGACCTTTCCTTGGTGGTATAGATATGGTAGCCCACGACTTAAAAGAGAGAGATTAGTCTGCGACCTTCCCCTCATTTCCTGTAAGTGGGATCATAGCCAACCTAATCAATATGCTCTTAAAGGACCAGGCCTTAACGAACGACTCATTAACTTTTGTTCCATCGAGACCGATTGTTTGATGCGCATACCGAAGCCAAAGCCTGTTCTCTTGTTCACCATCAAAGAAAAACTAACCTCAGCTAAGAAGAGTTTGTTCTATATCGCTAATCATTAATTTTGACATAGACCGACTTCTATTACGAATATAACTAAACCGCGATGTCTCCCTGATTCATCTAAACAAGTTTACATGATATTTGAATCGGTTTTTTTATATTAATTATTGACTCAAATTCAGTGGTGGTTTAAGTTGATCATAGCAGATGTTCCAAGTAAACACGCTGAAGCATTCTATGGGGTCAAAATTGCCTCCATGAAGAATCGGTAACGCCTGAAAGTGTACATTCCTAGCTGTCATGTAATAAGCGAGTCACTGGCTAACCGGGCGAAGAGAGAAGGAAGGGGACCCAAAAAAAAACGTTAACCAATTATATTGAAAGGACCCTTTTCGTAGACTGTGGATCGTGTTCTTCTAAGAGAATCTTCCGGCACCACTGTTATCTGCTCGTGATTGTTTATTGTTCTGAAGAATTCAAGCAAGCGACGGCTATGTCTTACTCCAGAAAAACTTGAATCCTGTCGCCCATTGTATCTTTAAAATCTAACAAGAGTTTCCCTCCAACTTCTGCACTTGCATCGTCCAACAATTCTTTAATATTTACGCCGGCGACAGCTGCAACAATGAAAAAGAAGTAAATTCTCTTTATCTACTTGGGAACTTTGTCCAGGACAGACAAAAATGCCAAAATAGCCATAAAACACAAAGAATACCCGGGACAATATTCGTGATGCTATCCAATAATCCGGCCTGCAGAGAAAAAAGGATAGACAAAGGCAGATAACATTCCTTGATTACATATATTAATGTGGACATAAAGGTGAGAATATACTTTTATGTACTGTGCCAGCTACAAGCATTATATTCATATGGAAAATACTGGCAAGTAACATGATAGAATGAGTTTTCGGGCTGTGGTTTAGCAAAATGATATATTGGAATAGGAGGCCACAAGCAAGAAAGAAACTATCGATGTATTGCTACTACCACGGATATGCAAGATGAAATCCATTTTATGACTTACTGGAATCCTGAGGTCAAGTCTCTCAAGACCATCTCTTCCCGTTATTTTTATTCTCAAATTCCGAGACCAGGGACCCGAGAAAGGACTTCTTGAGCTTTCTGTTCCATAATATGTAGGATTCATCACTTCAACTATGGGAGCTTCAAATACTTGACTCCTTTGCTCTGTATCTTCTTGAGTCTTCTGTGATGTACTGTACATATCAGTGCTCCCTGACAGATGATTTCATGTCATAGAGAGGGAAAAAATTGCAAATACTTTGAGAATGTCAATGGTGCCCACAAGAGTAAGTGAACTTATGGAATCCTGAACAGGTTTGGATCATCTTAAAACAAGAAACTCAAGAACTAAAGTAGTTAAGCCAATCCAAATTCCATTCCGAGCAATAACGACACATTGAGCCTTTTTTACGCCTACTTGGAAAATCTGGTCCAAAGATATGTAATCATGGCTAACTGCTAAACTTCACGATGCTAATCCAAAAAGAAAATGTAGACCTCTATGACAGAGGCCCATACATCTATGGGTCATAGGGAAGTTCAAATACCAACCTCCGCGAGAAGGCAATTGACTGGTGGTAGGCGTAGCATAACGCTTCTCTTCTTCATAGTAGCTGTTAAAACCTAAGATTTCTTTCACATCATCAAAAGATGGCATGCTTCCAGGAGGTGGTATACGTCCTCCTTTGATAGCTGCCAGAGAATCCTAAAAAAAAAATAGAAAGTATGGTTGAAAGCAGAAAGAGTAATCCTCTATGTTATGGAATTAGAATACACATCTGGGTGGCAGCAAGAGAAACGGAAGGACAGACAATGGCAAACATTAATGTACCCGAAACAGCTACTATCAACATGCTTCCAACCTAAGAAGAGAACTAAAGTGACATCTAGCACAACCAGTTTCACCTGAATTGCTATGAAAAAACATAACCTATCTAGATCTATTTTTATGATTTCTCACCTAAAAATATTAGCCCTATACGCCACTCAATTGAGCTTATGAAGGATCGATCCTTTTGCACCACTTAAGTCCATATCATATGTCTTTTAGTATTCTGGGATACCAGCATTAAATAGGTCCTTCCAAGGAAAAAAATTAAGACAAGCATATTGACCATCCCTGTTGCAAAATTAGTTGAGACAAAACAATAGGTCCAGGCTTCAACAACCTTTGAAAAATTAACAGGGGTTACTGCCCATCAGTTTTGATCACTTAGTAGAGGACAGAACCAAAAATCCTTTAGATGAATATTCATTTGCATAACCAAACAGCCATGAAAAAGACAGATAATAGTTTCAGAAGCCAGAATACACATGCACCCAACATGCTGCTTAAATTTGCAGAAAGGTTAACATAAATCTCATAAAATTTAACGATAAAAGGAAAAGTATACACATGCTACCTGCATTGCTCTTATAGAAACCCCAATTAGGGAAAGTGGATAAGCCACAAGTTTATATCCTATTTCCTCAAGTTCAAGAGGATTGAGTATCGGTGTTTTCCCACCTCCTTCAAGCATATTAGCCTATGCAGATCAAAGAAAGCTTGTCAATCGTTGCAAATTACTTCAAAATGGCGAACAATGATTTAAAAAAACAACTGACCATGTGAGGTCACATTGTGACTCATGAACAATGAGCACGCCGAACAAATTAATAAGCAGGCTATGGGACAAGTAACTTTACATTCGCAGAACGAAATTAAATGCCAGTATTCACTTTGTCCACTAAAAACCAAGTGTAAGCACAAATAAATAGACATTTATTGTGCAAGGGCTGCACCGTCTGAAAAGCAACGCAGGCTAACTTTCAAGCAATCTACGGGTTTTTATTTTTATTTTTCCTGGTTCATGACAACTCTATGTTTGACAGAAGGAAAAGCAACAAAAACAACTTTATGTTTATTTTTCAGTTAGTCAATTTTCTAGAGATTTACTTTTTGTATATTTTGTGTTCTTATTGAAAGTGGTAACTGTTATCGTTCTTTCTCCTTAATTTTGAATATCCAGGAAAAAGACCTGGAGCTCACTCAGCCAGTGAATTCCCCACACAGTCAAAGCTCCTGTCATATCAATCAAAGTCATGACCTCAAGCATTGTAATCTGATTGAATAATGACTTTTATTAGGTGTTCCAGCAGGGAAAAAGAAAATACAGATGCTGATACGTGTTCCATTTTCTAAGGTTACGTATGATTGACTGTTCGGGACAAAAAGACAGGCACCATGAATGTCCAAACTTCAAGAAAAAAGCTTATTGACTATCATAAGATCAGTTGTACCATTTTTGGGACAGACGGAGCAACCTCACAGAAAGCCTTCATCTCTTCTTTTGAAGCTAGAGCATCGATGAAAAGAACATCTGCTCCAGCATCAGCAAAAGCCCGAGACCTCCAGAGTGATTCACCCAGAGAAATTGCTTGACGAGAATCAGTTCGTGCAATAATAACAATGTCAGATCCACTTTCCTTTCGCGCATCGAGAGCAGCTTTTATCCTCATCACTGCTTCTTCTCTAGACACCACTTTTCTATCACGAGTATGACCGCAAGCTTTTGGAGATACCTTGTAATAAATACTTCGTAAGTATTTCATGTCTTATATACAAGTAAACATCAGTTGATGGAATAGTCATGAAGTAGATGGAAAAGAAGTACACGAATGAGCCAGGACTAAGCAAGATAAAGCATCAAACAGAAGACCTGTAATGCCTGACGGAAAATCAATTAACAGTTGCAGGTCAACTAATTTATGGAGATGCTGGTTAATAAAAAACGGTAGTCTGACCTAGTACAAATTTACTAAACATCATTTATAGACATATATCAATGTTGTTATATATCAATGTTGTTATTCTTTACACATGTGGACTTAACAATTCGTCCATCTTCTGTTGTTTCATTTTTTGGTTTCAGAAAATCAACAATAGAGTCAGCATTATTAAAATGGGAGACAAGCAGTGACAACAAATGTAAAACTAAAAGCAACACAGTTATCCCAATAACTGCTTGGAAATTTAAATGAAGCATAGTTGTGAAGCGGACATACGATTCATGAAAGAAAATCCAACTATAGTGAGCTGAGTGTTGAGATAGAGATGAACCAAAAGATTTGGCAGAATGTCTAGAATTAGATTCAGATCATAGATATAAATATTAAGGCAAAAATGCAACCCTCAAATGAAAATATGACCTTGAGAAAGGCATTGGACTTAATTATCAGTTAACTCCACATTATCAGATAGATGGTTGTAATTTATATCAGCAATGTTATTAAGAGGTTTTGTCCAGCCTATGAAATTGCTGCCAGAGAGGCATGTGCTCCAAGAACTCTACGTAAATTGTAGTCAGTTTCAACATGGATAGACCTATGGAAGGTTACCCAAGGTACAACAAAACATTACAGACAGAATCTCATGAAACAACCCGTTAGGATTTTCATACATCAAACCACCCTTTGTTCACCAATGAGATTGTACAGAATGCTTGTAATCAACTATGCAATATGCCTTCTGCATTCTTTATGTTTAGTCGGAACATGTATTGACAGTACCTATTTCAGCTATGTTAATGTAACTTCACCTTTTACTACATCAGCACAGCAGATTTAAGACTTGTTCCACCAAGAAATACATTTGTCCATCTGTTCATGCATGTATGGCAATATAATGTGCTTGACCAGTCCACAGGATTTTACGCAGACACATGCTTTGCACCACTTATTTTCAACGAAATCCGATATATCCTCACTTGATCATCAAAATCAAACAAGTTTATTTGCCCAAATCATCAATCTTATTCAAGCCTCATTTCTATGTCGATAAGAGCTCCTACTAACAATCTAAGATGACAATTATTTACTCTTGAACAAGTTACAATTCTAGTAAGAATGCTTGAAACCAAATCAGAGGAAAGATAAACAGATTGGTATTCGATAAGAATACTCAAAATTCTACAAACTACTTGAGAGTAATTACCTGATCTTCTAGAATGAGTCCAGCAAAGCCAGCATTGATATATCCTCTCACAGTCCTTTTCACATTCATTGCATTTCCATATCCATTATCAGCATCCCCTATGACAGGAATAGAGACAGCGCAAGTAATCTGTTGCCCCTGATCTACCATTTCTCCATAGGAGATTAAACCGGTATCAGGCAACCCCAATCTAGCAGCAGATATTGAGAACCCTGCCAGAAAAGGATAAGGGAACTATTAACTTAATTACATAAGCATATACATTTTGTAAGAGGTAGCTGAAAGCTAAACAGAGCTCAAACTCCATCTGTCCTCTCATCGGAGTAAAAATCTAATGAGAAATTCCAATGATCAAGAATGGGATTATGTTGTCATATTTATATTTAGGAACAGGTAACACTGTAGTGAGGTGATGACAATAAGCTCAAAAAACTTCTCAGCAGTAAGGGATGATTCTCAGTCTGATGACTCTAGTCTGTCTTCAACTTTGACTTACCATACCAACTCAATGCTGAGAAACAGAATCCTGATTTCCTCAGAAATTCTTTTGAAAATCACGACAATTTCCTTCTTTCCCCGTTGGGGCTCATGGGCAACCATCCCCAATATTAAGGAGCATAAATCATCTCCGCGAACAGACCGAACCTTAGTGAATTTGCTATCGCGCTGCTGCTTCACAGGCATAGTCTAGTGGCTCACTGAAAACTAAGGTACTCCTATACTACAGGATTCATGGAACTTGGACAAATGTCTGTCTATGCATGGAACTTGGAAGATCAGTTTAATCGAGCTCCATGAGCTCACATTCAATGAATCGTCCCTACAAATGTTTGAAATGGACACACCGATTCGCAATGAAAACAACCATACAGTCCTCCAACAGACATCGCCGATCAAAACCAATTACAAAACCGACAAACGCAACTCCCGAACTCACCGCTCGTGAAGCAGTAATCGAACCCAGCTCTCTCCACGAGCTTCGCGCTGAGGGCGTCGAAGCAAGCCGGCCCCTGGTGAATCCCCGGCGACTCGAGGACGCGCCGGAGCGCCCTGGCCGGGGACTCCGCCGCTAGACTCCCGCCTCCGCGATCGGCGGAGCACGCGATCGACGGGCGGAACGGTTTCCTCGGCGATTTCGAACGGAGGGCGCGCTTGATCGATCGCCCGAGCAGGACGCGTGAGGGCGAGGGAGGCGAAGCGGTCCTGGAGGCGGAAGAGTGGAGAGAAGAGAGAGGAGACGGCGGCGGCGGCGGCGGCGGCGTCGGCGGCGGCGAGCGGAGGAGAGAGAAGGTGGTTTCTCCGCAACCGATGACTGAAGAAGAAACCATCGTCGCGCGCTCTCTCTCTCTCTCTCTCTCTCTCTCTCTCTCTCTAGCGTGAAGTGAGCTCGCAAGCTATGGACAGTTGCAATATCAGTTGGTATTTTGTTGATGCTTTGTATTTTCCTCTCTTTTTTTCTTTCTTTTATCATTTTCCCCTTTTTTTTTTTTTTTTATAATCCGGACTCCCGCATCGGCCGCACTACAAGGATCCGACCGGCCAGGCACCAACAGGAGGAGAGCTAATCCGGCCCCACAAACTAGCTTCCATATAAGTCAACCGGAGGAGAGCTAATCTGACCCCACAAACTAGCTTCCATGTAAGTCAAAAATATAATAAGGCTACACGGCAGAGGGACTCGAACTTGGGACCTGGGACCCCAAGTCCTACACCCTTACTAACGCAGCCAACCTCTTGGAGGCTTTCCCTTTTTAATTTTAAGCCTTAGGAAATACTTGAAACCCTTTGAATTATTTAAATGTCAAACGCGTAAGATCATGTCAAATAGCGATAATGACGCAAACAATCCTTGAACTTTAGTCCAATATTCAATATAGTACCTGAACTTTTAATTTATTCAGTGCAATCCCTGAACTTTTAATTACTTTAATGAGTTCCCTGCATATTTTCACATAATTCGCGAATTAAATTGAACGTGTACCAAAAAATCAAGGACGGCATTAAACAAATTAAAAATTCAGGAACGACATTAGAACTACATTAAATAAATTAAAAGTTCATAGATCACATTGTACATTTGGTCAAAATTTAAAGACCGTTTGTGTCATTTTTTTAATAAATACGTTCATAATTTTTCCAAATTAAAATTAAAATTCTTTATTCTCCAATTTTGGAGAAAATATCATACTTAGAAGTTGTCGCGTGATGTATCGATAACTTTTTTTTTAATGAAAAAGTTCTCATTTGCATGAGGGTCAATTTGCAAGCTTCATGCTTGTACCGGAGGTCCAGAAGTAAGGTAGCTACACATACCAGAAAGGAAATGATAACGGGAGAAGTTCGACGACTTTGATGTTATTTAACACCGCCTTCTCATGATATAGCGGAACATCGGCGTTGGTTCATTGATGAATCGAACCTAAGAAGTTTTTGCGAAACCACAAAAGGGAATGCAGCAAAAGGCAGCACAACATTGTTGAAATTATCACCGTGACTGCCTCAGAATGAAAATAGCTGCTATTCTAGAGCAAACTCAAACTGGATTTGAACTGCAGCAGTGTGAAACCGGACTGTGTTCGGTTGCGTTCGGCTGCTGTTCATGCCAAACCGGACGACATACTTCAGATGTCCAGGATGATTCCGAGCAGATTCGCTGAAATCTCAGCTGATATTAATAGAATCCCCATTCAGATGCTGATAAACTTTGGCCAAATTAACGTAGCCACCAGGCCTTAAAGATGACTCTTCCACGGCCTTGCAAGAAGGCCGCCTCCCTGGAAGTTGCCAGTATTCATGTCTTTCTCACCTGAAGATCAAATGAACAGCTAGTAAAACTTAAATAATGAATAACGAGTTTCCGAAATAGACATGCCAAGGGAAAAACTCACAGCAAATTGATATAAGATGTCCTTAGACCAGCAGTCACCATGAAGTGAGATCTGTGCAGTGCAGTTTCCCTTCATAGAAAACTCATCTGTCTTACCCCCAATATAGCCGCTTCCCTTGACCACAAATGCCACTTTAGCACCGGGAGGATTTTCCTTTTGTTTTCCAATGAGGATCATCCAAAGTACCATCCGACTCATAATCAGAAAACATATAAGCATCTGTCTCTTGTTCAGAAATTTGTTGATCATCGCTGATTGCCACGCCAGCATCTTCTGCCAGATCGTCATCGGCAGAACTTTTGTAATTCCCCCTGCTTCTGTCTAGAAAACCTTTCCTCATCATGCTTGCCAATTTTTCCCGGAATTGTACCATGGGGTGTTCATACAAGAGACGCCTTCCCTCAAAAGCCTCTCTAAGGATCACATTCTGAGTATCAGTCTTTTTCGAAATGTAAAAGATTCCTGGATGGCGCTCAAAAACCTTGGTGAACTTTTGGGGCAAACTTAATGGATTGCGTAGATTACTTACGTTCTTCCTCTCTGTTTTCTTCTTGACAGTGAGGTGTAGAAGCTCATGAAAGACTCCGACAATCCTTTTCTCCGATACGTCAGTACGAGGATCTAAGTGGGAAGCATCCGTGTAAGGAGAAGTATAAGGAAGCCTCTGCCATTCTTCTAGCCACTTCATGCATTTTCTCTTCAGCCCAAAGCCTCTCGTGAACCGAATCGGAAAAGATAGGATGCCGTCTTTTAAATCTTCTTCCTTCTGCAGTAAAGGTGCATTCTTCTGCAATTCAGACACAGCTAGGTGATTGTCCCACAATAGAAGTTTCACGCCAATACGATCATCAGGTAGCCTAACTAAAGAGAATAATTCTGGACTCTTTAAAATCAGTGATTCCTGATAATCATAGGGCAATCCAAGATCCCATTTCAACTGGTCAATAGTTTGTACAGGAAGGATCCTATCTCTAGTGAGCATAAGCAATTGGCAAAGCCTGTTCTGGACATCGATATGGTTCTGTTGCAAAACGCTGAGTTCCTCCTGGTGGAGTACATGGGCTTCAGGTGTCAAGTGAAACCAGGGAACGGGAGTCCCTCCACTGTCAGGAGTATAAAACTCGTGAAAAATATTTGGGTATCTCCTGATAAACGTGGAGAGCTTGAGATCGTGGGGCAGGCCAAGTTGTCCACGAGAGCGAGAGAGGTTGTATACAGGGAGGCAACACTGCGGAGCAGAGGCAATAATATAAATAAGGAAGTTCACTGCTTTGAGATCCCTCTCCCCTGAAACAACAGTGTCAAGCTCCCGATCTTTCACCCACTTCAATTTCACATTCACCAGGCTACACTTCTGTTGATACCTAAAACCTTGCCGGCAGCTAAAGGAGAAATTGGATTCTCCAGTCCTAACCAATAACCAGAGCAACATCCTTCATCTAAAAGACAATTTTTTGTAATCTCAGGCCATGGTTCCTTCGTGGCTTCTTCTCGGTTTCAACAATCCAATATACATCATTTCCATGTGCTGCTGTGCAAAACTGTCAAATGATGGAAGATGCAATGGCACAAAGAGACAGCATCATAAACAACAACTTCATATTTGTTGAGATAGGTTAGTGGCGGATTCTTCTTATTATGAGTAGGGTGATTGGGAAAGTTAAGAAACAAAAATAAATATGTATAGAGAGAGAGAGAGCATTTGAATTTCAAAGTAAAATAACATCATCAAACAACTAAACTAATTAATATTCATGAATATTAATCGTTACAAGTTTTCATATCAGAGAGTGAAAATGAAACTCAAAGATCAGACCCTTCCTTGCACATCTAGCAGATAAACAGAGCAAAGTAATGATCTAGTACCTAATTCAATAAAGGAGAGAGAATTTCGCATATATTCAGAGAACTGTATCTCAAGGATCCTCACTGATCCGATCAATTTTCACACTCACAATGCCGCTAGTAGCTCAACCACCAGTACCCTGGATTCATTTAGCAACCCACCTAGCAGTCACTCAAATGCAAGGCATAAAAAGTTCTCACCAAATTATGCATTCAAGATCAGTGCCTTTTCCTCAGTGCAGTCGGTGAACAAATCGCACTGAAATGCACTGATTTAGTGAGTTAATTGCAGTGGATCAGAGCACCTTGTTGAGTGCAGGTTGCTCTAGATTAGTGCACTTTGCAAACTGCTCCGCTCCGAACGTTTATACAGATTTCTCACTTAGTGCAGTTAGTAACACAATTCACTCAGCATATTAATCCCAGATACAAGGCTGCTCCTAAGGCCAACAAAAGTCCAGAGACAGATAGTCTATTTGGTCTGCGCAGCAAAAGTAACTTTCTCATCGTGTTTCTATAACCTCCGTTTTCTCTTTATCAGACATGATGTTGGATCAAATACGGGTGGCAGTCGTAGTTTTTTCGCTGGTAGTCCAACAAAGTTCTGATTCAAATAAAAAGAGAAAATCTTCCTCTTGGTGAGATTAAGTCATACACCTGAAGTTCATTTAGATCAAGCTTGGATCTAATTCCTCTAGTTTCATCAAGCTAAACCTCGAGCAGCTTTTTGGCATTTCGTCATCCAAACTTTCTAGTTCTCCCGAAAAAGAACATTTGAATTTATTAGACCTATCAAATGAGTGGGCCATGTAGGGCTTGAGTTGGTTAACAATGGGTCCGACCCACATTTCATTTAACCCATATTGACCCATGTTTATGTAATACAACTTTAGCGACACATACTTGACTCATACCCTACCCAACCCACGCTCCAATTCTCAGCAATTTTTCCCCTTAAACATGGGAAATAGCATACAAAATAAAAAAACTACTAAAACCAAATTAAAAAAAAAATAGCAAATAATATATCACTAATAAATATAACGAATCAAGCACTAAAACATATCTTCCGTTATCTCTCCTCGACCTAGAAATTTGATCTGATTTCTACTCTGGTAAGCACTAAAATATCTTTAAAAACTCAGATTTGAAAATACTTAGGCCCATCACGATTTGTAACATTAAGAGGGAAAACAAGGAAATGAACCAAATACCAACAAAGGACGAACAAGGTCACCTACAAACTCTATGTTGACCAATTCTTAACTAACAGAAGGGTCCTTTTTAACTACTCCGTATAAAAAAAAAGATATTGAAAAGAAAACCCAGTTGAGCAAGGATAAAATACCAAAAAATTCCATCGTGACAGTTAGTTCCCTCATCCACAAGGGGAGTGAGTCCCTGAGGTCAGTCCAGAGAGATTGAAAATGAGAAGTTTGTATGTCCACAAACAACAACAGACATTAGGCTCATCACCAGATCAATAGCACACCCAACAGCAAGATAGTATGCATCAACAACCATCATGGGGTTTAATAGTAAAGATTATAATAGTAGCAACAGCTTTTTGTTCTTGCTGAATTGTCAACCGTACATAGAAAAAGAACGGACTTCTGCGATAGCTAACAATTCAAAATCATTCAAGTTTCACAAAGGAACTTTCTGTGTCTAGATGAGACACAGAAAAAAGCACACTGATGATGGAATTTACTTGCTTGACTAATTCTTTTCCCCAATTGATTGACTTATATCTAAACTCAACCGGGTGGAAAATTTCCACATTGACGTAGTCAACAATGATAAAAAAAAAATCTTTTAAATCCCGATCCTTCCCCCGGTAATCAAACCTTCATCAATCACGAAAAAGTTACTTCCCGTATACTCTGTTCATGGTATACACGTATGTCTTAACATCCTCAAATTTTAAAATCCCCACTTGATCCAAGTACTAAGGGGAAAAAGATAAAAATAAAAAAAAAACCGCGTAAATATTTGTATATATTGCATGATCTCGCTCAAGTGCGCGCTCACATAGGCATTTCATCAAACAGGTGACCTTCAATGCATTTCTAGCGGTAGAATCCAAAATTAATTGATGCGAATATGAGTCTCGGGTCTTACCGGATTGTCGCAGGCGATGGTTGGCGTCGAACGGTGGTTCCAGGTAAACACCAAGAGGCAAAATTGGATAAGAGCCTGAGGGAATGCTGTTCGGAACAGCGAATGTGAAGTGGGTTGGTGAAATTAAGCTCTTCTGAATGTCGAAAACGCACGTGGGTACCTCCGGTGAGAGAGGCGGCGCGACGGTGGTGAAGAGAGGGAGGGAGAGGAGGAAACGCTGCGGCCTGCGGCGGTTCCCTCCGAGGCTCGCCAGAGTTACGTGAGCTCCGGCTCTGTTGGCGGTGGAGGAGTGAAGGAGAGGGCTCCGGGAAGCGGCGGAGGAGGTGGCAGTGTGGTTGCGCAGTTCGACAATACCTGTGAGTCTGTGACTGAAGCTTGGCCGGAGTCACGTACGGTTGTCGACAATGGCGGAAAAAATCGGAGCTTGCGGGAGAAACGGATGAGATAATCTCAAAGAGGAGAGAGAAGATTGAGAAAGAAAAGAAAAAAAGATTAATACCACGAAAAATCCCAAACTTGTATATCTATGATAATTTTACCCTAAACTAATTTTTTGACCATAAAAAATCACAAACCAGTACACTTGTGACAAATTTACCCTTAGTTTGTTTCCATTAAATTTTACTGTCAAATTGTTTTGTTAAATAACACGTAACAGTTAACTGATGTACCAGTTTTATGTTTAACCCATCATTTGTCACAGATGTACCAGTTTGTGATTTTTTTTTGTATTAATTCAATTTAACGGTACTAACAAAGAGTAAATTTGTCACAAATGTTACCAGTTTGGGGTTTTTAGTGGTCAAAATATTAGTTTTTGGTAAATTTGTCACAGGTTCACCAGTTTGGGGTTTTTTGTGGTCAAAAAAATAGTTTGAGGTAAAATTGTCACAGGTGTACCAACTTGGAGTTTTTCGTGGTATTAACCCAAAGAAAAAAGAATACACATATATATAAATATATAGTCATCGAAAAAAGAAATGGTTAATATCACAAAAAATATCAAACCAATACATTTATGATAAACTTGTCTTCCGATAATTTCTGTTAAATTGAATTAATACCACAAAAAATCATAAATCGATACACTTGTAACCAACAGAGGGTAAAACTCCAAATCGGTACACCCATCAACTGTCACGTGTTATCCAACTCAGCAATTTGACGGTAAAATTTAATGTAAACTAACGGAGGGTAAATTTGTTATGGGAGTACCGGTTTGAGATTTTTGTGGTCAAAAAATTAGTTTTAGGTAAATTTATTACATATGAACTGATTTGAAATTTTTCGTGGTATTAATCGCAAAAAAATATATGCCTCGCTTATATTTTCTAATCCTTTAATAGCCAAATTTCAATTATTCATGCACCAAAGTTTAATTCATCTTTGGAATGTAGAAAGGAAATGCACTCTTACAAGAGGCTCCATGGCATGTCCTATAACCAGATGGATTCCACAGTTCCGTTTCTTATTTTAAGGTGCCGGTGCCTGCACGCCTCACACCCTCAATTTTTCTTTGTATCTTTATCCTCCCTAAGGATGAGGGAATACCATTTAGTTACTTTACATTTAGGAGATCCTGAGATTCGGACAAGACCTTGAATAAAAGCCTTTTAATGTCTTGCTTAAGACATAAAGAGAGAAGAATGAGAAAGAAAAGAAAAAAGAGTACACTCATAATATATATAAATGCATATTCATCGAAAAAAGAAATATATGCCTCACTTATATTTTTGACTTACTAGTTTAATAGCCAAATTTCAATTGGTCATGCACGAAAGTTTAATTCATCTTCGGAATGTAGAAACGAAAATGCTCTCAAAAACCATTGATTTATTATCAATAAATTGTTTTCACGTGCTTAATTAACTATATACCCCATGCCAAAACCCCGACATACCACAGGCCTATAAGTTCTTATAGTAGATGTATAGATCGCCTACCAAAGGGAGATTGCCGACAGTGAGATGCGAAAGTTAATAGATACTTCAATTTAGTTATTTGGATCTTCGGGGATGGTGGTGTAGATGAAATCATACTACCGTGGTCCACAGACATTGCATAGAGAGTGCACTAAGGAATATTCACTACTAGTTAACAGTTTTCAATTACAATTGCTGATTGCCCTCTAACTTATTTGATTATGTTGATTACAATACCTTGTTCATCGAACTCGAGTTATGTGGGTTACGTTGTAGTCGCATATACAATAGAAAAATCATATTCATATTGATTTTTTTGATGAAATTATCATACATGTTAAATTCGGATTAATCTTTTTCGACAATAAATGTTTGATTGACATGACACTGAAATTTATTGGTGGACATGAATTGTGAGTCGTACCTCGACTCTCATCTTTTTGGTAAACTTCTAGGAATTTGATTGCTGCCTCAGATCCCTTCTCAAATGAATGGGAAAACCATATGCTAGCTCTAGCTTGATTAGCCAAATTTAGTTTGACCAATTCACAATTGCAGATCAAATGCTCAGGTGTCCAAGTTATTGACTAATCCAAGATAATCATAGAATGGAAAATGCATGGGAGTTGAGGGGTCACATTGGAAATTCATTTTAAATACATGGCTAAGTTTTCTGTATTATCTATCAAGTCACTTGCCTTAATTTTGGGTCTTGCGTTTGAATTTTGATGAAAGGGATAGGGACAAGATGTGTCGCAATCTGGGAGAGTTGGATTATACGGCACTAATTTAAATATAAATGACTTACTAACATTGATTGAAGTTGGTGCTCACGCATTAGATACCAACTATATTTTCGTATTAAAAGAAAATTTCTATGGTACAATAATTGCCGTACACTTTTGCACTCTAAAATAGTGGATCAGATTTTGTCATATCGACTTTCTGGTCAAACCAGTATCATCTTAAGGTGGGGGCAGTTAACGATGTGCGATGCGGTCCTTTGAACTGCAAAAGTGACTTTCGTAGCATAGGCTAGAGAATGTAGTGGTGAGGGGAAATGCAAGATATCAATTTCCGCTCCGTTCTATACCATCGTACATAGCCGCACAAAAACTACTTGATTTCGATCTATGTCATGAAAAATTAAAGAAAAAGAAATCAGTTTGGATCTCTTAAGAAAATGAATCCATGAAAAATATATGTTTAAATTTAGAAAAATGGTTCCCTCTTTAAAATATCGGATATCATTTTTCAAAACATAACTAGATATCGATGTTTAGATCAAAAACTTTAATTTGGACACGGGAACCAAAAGCTTGTTCTCGGGGTTCCTGACAGCGGACCCAGATCTAGAGGCCAGGGCGAGTTCACGGTGGTCTATCGAGGCCAAGCCAGGGTCAAAAGAGGTCGGGCCCAGGTCCACAGAGGTTAGGCTCGGGACACCAGCGCCAGTGGCCCGGCCTAGGACTCCGATACCGTTGCTTGGCTCCCCGATGCCCTAGCCCAGTTCCACAAGGCTTGAGCCCAAGATTCGAGTGCTCGTGCCTAAATCCCTAACACCGGGGCCCAGGTCCATTAAGGCTGGCCTTAGGTCCACAGAGCTCGGGTTTGAGACCTCGCGCTTGGGACATGGTCCATCAAGGCCGGGCCCTTGACCCCAGTGCTAGTGTCCGAGTCACCGGTGCTCAAGCTCGTGTCCATCGTGGCCGCGCTTGTGTCCATTGAGACTAGACCCAGGACCTCAGCGCCCCGACCTAGGTCTACTAAGGGCATACCCGAGACCTCGGCGCCAGTACCTAGGACCCATGTTGTATCCTCGGAGCCTAGGTTCGGGGTCGGGTTCAAGACCCCGAAGCTCACATCCAAGTTCATCAAGGTCAAGCCCAAGACCTCAATGGCTAATCCCAGGTCCCTGACACTTATGCTTGGGACCTCGGAGACTGTACCTCGGTCCCCAGCGAAAGGGTCCATTAAGGTGGGCTCAAGACCTTGGAGTATGTGCCCTGGCACAAGGTCGGACTTTGGATCATGCCCATGCTTGTGCCCAGGACATAGGTACCCGTGCTTGGGTCTCCAGCGCCTAGGTCGGGGTCCATTGAGACCGTACCCAAGATTCTGATGCCTATACTCGATTCCCTTGCCGTCTATGTGCAAGTTACTAGCATTCGAATAATGTATGTTTGTGTAAAAAATTCTGATTGATTTTCCTTACCAAAAAATGAAAAATATTTTCCACTGTAATTTCAAGTTTCAGTTAAACACCCGAAACTACCGTCATTTTCTTGGAAAATGACTATGAAAAATACATTTTCCATAAATGTCTCATTTTCCGCAAAACAAACTCAACTTTATAATTTTCTCTTTTATGAAATCGCCATATTATAAATCTAAAAAACGAATTTACTTATTCATTGCGAATTGCTCTAGGATGTAGACAACCTAGACCTGATGCATGAATCATTCGTTCATCGTGGCCTTAAGGGTTTTGACCGTGTCCGCGAGTCAAATTGCCCGTCGCCGGAAGTTACCACCTGCCCATCTTCTTGGTTCTGTGATTTGGTGAAGGCAAACCCCTTCTCACGCAATACCAGTAAGCATGGCCGCCGAGACGAACGAAAGCAAACCCCTTCTCACGCAATACCAGTAAGCATGGCCACCGAGACGAACGAAACGTTATCTTCATAATGACTGAACAATCGTATTTATCTCCTTAATCACCTATTAATCATGCACGACGTCTTTCTCCTGTATCACACCTCTCTCTCTCTCTCTCTCTCTCTCTCTCTCTCTCTCTCTCTCTCTCTCTCTCTGAAAATGAGCTCATCACTTTGGTTCACAGTGATGCTCGTGATCATGGCGATGCTCGCGAATGGCGTGAGCTCGGACTTGGCAAGTGACAAGCAAGAGTGCGGGAGCCAGCTGGTCAATCTCTCGCCATGCATACCCTTCGTCGGTGGTGAGGGTAAAGCTCCATCCGTGGCATGCTGCGAAAACCTGAGGAAGGACACGGCCGAGACGAAGAAGTGCTTGTGCATGCTTGTCCGAGACCGGAACGAGCCAGACCTCGGCTTCAAGATGAACGCCACCCTCGCGCTCGCCCTCCCTTCCATTTGCCATGCTGCAGCCAACGTCTCTCACTGCCCCGGTAAGCGGCCCCTGGTACTGTAGAAGATGTGAGATCGTTGTCGGCTTATCTAACGGTTTAACCAATTAGTGAACAAGATCGACGTGGTTCGTATTTTATGTATAACTAAGTTAATCGTTACTATTTTGCTTGCCATTTTTCATTGGATCTTTAAAAGGGCAAAACACAGACAAACAAACCCTGATATTCATCAAAATAAGAGAAGTGTGTAGCTTTTATGCTCTCTCATCGCTTCCTTTCGAAATACAGCTCTTCTGCATTTGGATCCGAACTCCCCAGATGCTCAAATTTTCGAGCAATTCACCAACGCATCGTACGCTGGGATCATCTCCGGTGATTAAATCATCTTCTTTCCTCTCTTCCTTGTCCTTTTCTTCCCTCACAAGATGAACGAGAACTTTATTAAGTTACCGGTTAATTTTCCTTGACAGTACAAAAAGAACAGTAGTCGATGATGGTTGATCTCTTCTTCGTTGTCACTGATACAGGAGATCGATCTAGCGTCGTCTCAAGCAGCGGTTTGGCAAAACGACCTTGGCGTATTGGAGTTGCCTTCTGGCTCCTGATAAATACTGTTGTTCACATGGTCTGAGAATTTACTTGCCATAGCTTCCCCTCTTTCTTCCCAAAATGATCATGTACATGGTACGGAGTTAGTAGTACTGAACTTAGAATCAATATATCAATGATCTGTGGCTACTTATTTTTCGAGTGCGTACGCTGTGGCTGAACCCGTGTTGCGCTATGAAGTGTTGTAAGTTATATGTTTGGTAATACGCGTTCTAAAGCTGTATTATTAATATGTAATTTATATGTATTATGAGGTCTTTTTGTAATTATGGTTTTATATGTACCTTACTATAATTAATCACAATTCCTATAAATACATATCATACAATCATAACTGGGTTTAAACCACCATAAATATTTTATCGTTATTTTTTCTCTATTTCTCAACATGGTACTAGAGCATGAAGAAGCATCAAATTCTTCAATATCTCTACCCCAAATCAACGCTTCCTTTGCTCCAATTACTATCTCAACAATGCCCAATACATCTCCAAATTTTTCTTCTTCTCTACCATCTCTTTACCAATCATCTTCTCTTTCTATTAATTCCAATTTCCCATCACTTCTCAATAACATTGCGTCCACTTTCATCTCTTCTTCCCTGCCCGTTGCTTCGATCTCTGTTGCTGCTCAAATTACAGCCATGCAATCAACCTTGATGTATCTTGTTCTTCCTAACATCACAAGTCTCGTCTCCATCAAAATCGATGCAAACAATTATCTTCTGTGGAAATCTCAATTTGAACCTATTTTAATTTGCAACGATATACTCTGTTATGTAGATGGGTCTTTTCTGTGTCCGCCGAAACTTATCAATGATCAAAATGGCATTGTGGTGACCAATTCCTCTTATTCCACCTAGGTCAAGACAGATCAATGAGTTCTTAGTTTGATCAATTCGACTCCCACAGTTGAGATTTTCCATGAAGTTCATGACCTTTGGTCATGTAATCCTTCAGTTTGGAATAAGAGGGAAAGTTGTAAAATTTAGAGTTCTTACTTTCCATGCCTTTCTGAAAATCCTTTTTTTTCAAAGCCTGGCATAATCCTCTAAGAAATGCAACTCGGCCAGGTAAGCATAACATTATCCTAGTAACTCTGAGTGTCTCTATGCTCTGAACTAAATTTCCGGGTAGTTTTGCAGCTAAAAGGCAGTCCCTGAAGGGCTTGAACAGGAGGTTTGCCTGTGCGGGATAGCATATCTGTTGCAAACTGACCTTGTTTTCCCTGGTTCTCAGCATAAATCCTCTCATTGGTATCGATTTGACTCGCTCTAGGACGATGCTTTATCGGTCATTGTGCAGCCAAGGAAATTGGACTAAAACTTGATTTTCAAATGCTGCTAAGAAACCCGATGAGTCAATGTCTGATTATATTCGACATCTGAAGTCAATTACAAGCTCTCTCACTGTAATCAATTGCTCCGTCTCTAATAAGAACTTGGTGATTCAAGCCCTCAATGTGCTCCCATCTAAGTACGATCGTTTTGTCAACATGGTTACAAATGGCCCTATAGTTCTTTCCTTCAGTGATCTACGATCATGCCTCCTCATCCAAGAAAAACAATTTCTGTGAAAATCAAATGCATCATCAACATCTGATATTCATCATGCTTTGATCGATCATGCCACTTCACCCATTCTACCGTTTTGAAGGTCTCGGGTGGAAGTAATTCTAGAGGCCAAAGATTTGTTCGAGATCAAGGTAGGCGATTCTCGTGTGATCAAAATCTTCCTATGATCGGTTTAGTCCGCAATCATTATCGGCTCCCTATGCTGATCGCTCCTCCACCTCATCTGGTCGGCCTCGTGGTGATTCGAAGCCCTATGTTATTCATTCACACAATGAGGCATTATTGAATTAAAGCCTCATCTTACTTGTCAGATCTATAACGGGGCCAAGCACACCGCATTACAATGTCAACAACGATTCAACCATGCGTTCACCGTCATTGATCCGTCGAACTCTTTTTCAGCTCTCTCGGTCGATGAAAATTCTGATCCAATGTGGTATCTTCAGCACATATGTCAAGTGATATTGGTAAAATCCTAAATCTAATACCTTTTTATGATTTGACAAAAGTCATGAGCTCGAAGCACCCTTTTTTAATCCTCTCACCATTAATTGTGACAACATCTCGGATACATATCTTGCTCTAAACCCTATGTTTCATGCTCGCATCAAACACAGTGAGTTGATTTTTCAATTTGTTTGAAAGTAGGTTGCTTCTAGGGATCTATGTGTTCGCTACATGCCTAAAATGGATCAGCTGGCAGACATCTTCACTGAGGGACTATCTAGTCCGTGTCACGCGCTATTGAGATCTAATCTCTCAATTATTACACTTATTTCGGATTGATGGACAATATTAATGTGTAATTTATATGTATTATGGGTCTTTCTGTAATCATGTTTCTATTTATACTCTTACTATAAATTTTTTTTGACAGTATACTCTTACTATAATTAGTCACTCCTATAAATACATATCATGCAACCCTAATTCGAGTTAAGCAACCATAAACACTTTGTATTATTTTCTTTCTAATTATAAACATCAACATGTAGCACCTCAAAACAAACAGTTCTTAAATATTGCTATAAATAGTTTTAGCTTTGCAGGTGTTGCAATTGTTAAGATGTTTGCCAAGCAACTTCTTTCCCTTTCATTCTTTTTAATTAAAAAAAGATTTACAAAATCAGTTTGCTAAATAACGTGTTAGACTGTGAGTGGCCTTTTAAACAAATGGATCGTATTCGAGATAGTAAATCAACTTTGCGGACCAAACTTAGTAAGTCTAGCATTTCCCTTCCTATTTACAAAACACTCGATGTATTAATATATACTTTAACATTGCATAATTCCAAAAATCAAATTACGCATAACTCTTTCTATCGACGTCGTTTTCGTGTCCGATAGCTATCCGTTAAATTACGTCAAAGTTAATCCGCGCCCAAATATTTATAGTAAAAACGAATAACCTAATCCGAAAAAGCACCGTTCCCTTTTTTAGCGTCATTAATTCACTTCTCCAATTTATATATACCGCGTTGGATTTATATTTCCCTAATTGATATTATGCAATTTTCGGACCGTCTAGCTGCCGACCACATTGAACATGGACCGGAACAACAAGAAAATTCCTAATAACTAGCAAAAATGGAAAAAGAAAATTGCCATATTATTATTTGCTTTCTCACGACTACATAAAAAAAAAAAGATAATGCAAGATAAAGTAAAATGACAAAAGAAAATTAGCAAATTTTGTGCTTTAACTCTATAAAAAAAATGGAAAAATAAAAGGCATATGCTATGATTCTATGAGATAAAGGACACCTTGAGAACTGAAATTTTCATTTTGGTCCAGAAAAACACGGAGACTCTCTCTCTCTCTCTCTCTCTGTCTGACACCTACCACAAGCGCAGGCAGACATAAACCTTTGCGAAGCGAATCCGGTTGCAGCACGACCATCTTCAACCACGTCTCGCGAGGCGACAAGTCCCCCAGCGCACGACGACCTCCTCCTCCTCCTCGTCATCTCGCCTTCTTGTTCGTGTTCGTCTTCCGCCAATCTTGATCCCGGCTCCGTCCTCTGTTTCTCATGTCGCTTGCGGCTGCCTCCTCCCTCGCCTTCGGTAACTCCGATCACCCACCTACCTACTTCTTTGGTGTAAACCGTCAAAAGGGTAATTTGCATGTCGTGCATGTATCCGCTTAATAGATCAAAGATCGAAACTTGAACTTGCACGTCTTGGAGGTGGCTCATTGGGAAAGAAAGATTGCATTTTTAGCTCGGTCGGGAGAGGGAACCTAGGTACTCGGTGTCTTGTCCCAGGTGATTAGAGGCGTTTGGTGGCTGTAGGGTTCGAAGGGTTTGGGATTCTGTGCTTGTGCTGCGGAATGACTTGGTGGTTGGTGGGCGTTCTGCTGATTTTTGTTGTTGTTGTTTGGTGGTGTGATCAGGTTCGTCACGTTACAATCTGGGCCATTCGGAATGCTCGACGTCTTGTGGAATCGCGAGCACGAGCAGCTGGATGAAACATTCCCTCGACGGGCGAAGGTCTGTAGATTTTTCTTCTATGAGGTGTGTGGTTTTCCTTTGGGTTTCGGAGATTATCTAGGAGGACCCATGTTTAGATTTGTTTGACCATGAGTCTATGGTTCGACCAATTTTATGTTTGCATGATGCAATCCTTTGGTTTATTGGCATAGAATTAAGATTGGTGTACACGTAAGGCCTTCTCAGGTTGAGGTGATTGTAAAAATTCGTACTTGGCTCAATATTCTGCTCTTGGATTGGTGTTTTTCTTTTCCTTGAATTGATGGAGCCTTGGGAGGTATCATTGGGATGGTTAATGTATTTCACCACGTATTAAAACATGGAGAAGGAAAAGAAGATAGAGCATAAATTGGATGGAAAAACACTGTTTGAGCTTAAAGCTCAATTTATTGCTGATTGGAGTCATCTTTAAAATTATGGGAGGGCTAGTCAGAGGTCTATAATCAAGAAAACGGTGAAAGTCTGTGGCATTTTCACCAGAAATGCTGGATTTTTCAGAGTTATTGTTGCTATGGTCACCATGACCATGAAAGTAGATATCCTTAATTTCACGATCACATTTCTTATGAAGAACAAAATAGTCTTGGACAACCCACCTTCCCCTGAATCCAAAACCAAAAAACTCTAGAGTCATCCAAAAGAGGGTGGAAAACTTGGCACGTTGGATTTCTTCAACCAAACAACTCTTGGTGTTTCCAAAAATGTTGGCGCTACACTGATTCGATAACCAACTTTGCAAACTTCAACTCAAACAAAGTAGTGGCCCTTAAAATACTAAAACGCTGAAGCAAACTCTCATAGCTAACCTACTAATTGAGAACATTTTACTGTTGTTGTTTAAATGTTTCCTGGTAATGCCATATTCCATTTGTTTGAGATGTTTCCTTGCAATGCCATATATCAATTACCATCATGTGAATGTAGTTACCGCTTTGTTTGGTGAAATTGACTTGAAAAAAGTGAGATATATTGTACTTAATGTGTATTTTTCTTAAGACTGTCATGGAGTGTATTAGTTCTCTAATTTTCATTGTTGACATGCCTTTTTTATGCTTAGGTGCTCTCTCTCTCTCTCTCTCTCTCTCTCTCTCTCTCTCTCTCTCTCTCTCTCTCTCTCTCTCTCTCTCACCGTCTCCCGCACTTACGCATGCATGTACACAGAACTAGAAGAAAAAAAGTTCCTTTCTGTTGATATCCGTATACTATTTCATGAGAATTTCATGTTGACTTCCAGATGCACCAATTCTTTTTTCAGATCACTACCCTTCCAGTGGCTGCCAATAGGAAATGAGCTCTGCCTTTCGAGGATTTCAGTTGCTGCTGATTACTCTGATTCTCTTCCTGATTCATCTAATTACATAAGCGACCAGGGCTACCATCCTCTTGAAGAGCTTAAAGCTTGCAAGAGAACCCGTGAGACTAAACTTACTTCAGCCGAAATTGCAAGGACAACTGTTGAGGTAAACATAATAATTGAGTGGTGCAAGATTCCAGAGCCATTCTGGTTTTCATTTGCAATTTAGCATGTTGACATATTTCCTCTTCAGGCCTGCAGTAGCGCTTTGCTAGTTTTCCCAGGGCCTGTACACTGTGAACCCCATGAACAAATATCATGGGCAGAGTTCCAGTATGTTGTGGATGATTATGGAGGTTTCCTTCTTTCACAATTGGATTGTTGTTTTTCCCAATTTCAAATTGGTTGTAAATATGGTCTCACTGAAAATCTGTTCTTTCCAGATATATTTTTTGAAATTTTCGACGATGAGAACATTCTAGAAGATCGTGGTGCAACTAGCCCCGTGGTGAGTTTCTCCTTCCTTTCTGAAATGCTTCCTTAGCATTTAGGAAATCTTCAACTCGAAAGCCTCAGGTAGGATTAATTCATATCTAGGGTTCTATTGTTTCTCCCTCGGCTTTGCAAGTTATGCCAGCATCTTCTTTTAATGGCAAAGTTTCGGAAGTGTTCCCATAATTTCAGCAGATTGGGTATGTGGCAAGTTTGAAGAAGTACTATATTAGCTGGCAAAATTCAAACCAAAACAGACTTAAGCGTGATGTATTTAGCCTGCAGGACTGTTCTTATCCCACGACAAACTTTCTCCCCTTTCGGCCAACGGGTCCAGGTTAAGCAAGAGTGATTTTTAGATACTAATTTTACCTCATTGTCTTAACAATACTTTCAGCAGTTTAGGAGCTTGAACACATTGTGGTGTGGAACATGAAATCCTCGATGAAGCACTGAGTTTAGACCAAATTTTTCAATGCCGCTGCACATTTAACAGGGAAGAGATTAATTTGTTCTCATATTGTCTTGCGTGTCAAGTATAATGACTTGGTTGTGATTCTGGAAACGTCTCGTCATCCTGATTAATGGGGGGAAAGAGAAGCTGCTTAGAGAGCTTTTAGTCTATGAATCATTTTTCCAGGCGAGATGTTCTCGGAATCTTGTCTTGCTCCAAATGCCTTGTAGTAAGATTAGGCATTAAAATTTTAGTTCTCAAGGCACATTGTTTATAAGGGGTAACGAGTTTCATGTTTTGATTGGAGTGAAATAAGGCACCAGCAGGACGTGGCCTCTACTTGTGTATGGAACGGTCTTAATGACTTTGATAAGTTGGAGCATGTGTATCATTTAATATTTTGGTGGATGTAAAATATTTTCACCTTATTTGAGATGAGCAGGGCCATAATCATTCTCTTAAAAAGCTTTTGGAGGTAGCTCGTGGACCATTAGTCTGGGAGTCCTGTATTGTTTCCGGTAGATCTGACGGTTCACTTAATTGCTGCATTATACTTCTATATCCATTGCATATGTGTGATTTTTACGATTACTATTTTTCCCTTAAATTTATGGGTTGCACAAAATTAAATTGATCTTTGGTTGATAAATTTCTTCAGAATGTATTCATTGGAATGGATATACCGGTCTATGATAACAGGAAGATGGCTGATGAGTACGATATGTCAGATATTGGTACGACTGAGCTATCCTATGAAGAAGATTATCTTGAGGTGGAGTGTCATGTGCTTACTTAACATGGAGAGAGAAAAAGTTGGGTATTTTTTAAATTTCACTATGCTATGAGTCTCCAATCACGTGCATTTTTGGGTAAAACAGGTAATGGAAACTGAAGTGTTTGATAGTGCAGTAGATTGGGGGATGCCAGATCCTTCTATCTTGGTCCATCCGGTTTATTTTGCCAAGTGCTTGACAAAGGTGATCACTTCTCTCTCTTCAGTAAATTAGGTGATTGGTGACCTAGTTATTTACAGTTGCAGATTACTTTTTAACTAAGAAAATCATTAAGTTGCAGAGAAGCTTCACCCTACTTATTGTTAATGTTAAAGCTGCAACTTTTTTAAAATAAATACATGAACTGCATCCAGCTGTGTGCTCGACTCTTCTTTGCAACTACATTAACGACATCAATTTTTCAGCTCTGGTGTATGGTAGCTTTAATTTGCGAGACTACTCCTTATATAGCTTTGATTTGTCGAGTACTTGTTTAAAATGATGACAGCAAAGGAACGTGCATCTTCACAATGGCCTTTTCTTACTTCTCTCATATGCTCCATAATCTCTATTGTGTATTAGTGCTAAAAATTGTAGATTTTAGCATTGACTAAAGAGTATTGCAATGAGGATATTGGGTGAAACACCCCCAAAATGAAAATTAAGTACTGTAGTACATTGTAGCATTGGAGAGCATTTCGATGGTGTCCAACGAGTTTCATATGTGAAGGTCTAAGCCTGGATGTAGTCTCTGTCATGGATGATGCTTAGCTTGCAGGAACTTTCCAGATCAGTTGGGAAGATTGTCTTGAAATGCTCACTTGTCCCCTCTCAAATCAGTCTTGCAACTGAGACTTCCGTAGCAATAAGCCTCGAGAATTTTCCATAGAGTGCTTGCTTACTCTGTTCCTTCTTTTCTCTCATTCACTCCTGTCTTTATTTAATGCTTGCTCAATCCAGCCACCCCCTCTTTCCGCTGCAGAAGAGTATGTATACGTAGCGTTGTGTCTGCATATTCGCACTCATAAGCAGGAGAAGTGACTTTTTTATCGTTCTAAAAGAAAATTTTCTGACTTCATGTTATAGGCGGTCAATGCGGAACATGACAAAAAGATGGACAATCCATCAAATGGCTTGTCCATTTTGGGATGCCTCAGACCTACTTTTTCTGATGAAGAATCTTATCTGAGAAAGCTCTTTCAAAGTGAGGATGCGGATAACCACAACTTGGACTGGAAAGGTATGGTTCAACAACAGAATCAATGTTATGGGCCAACCCACTATTTTCTATTGGCAAATAACTTGAATTTATTGTATGTGATTACATTTTTTCAATCGTCTGAGATATTTCCATCGGTTCTTCCCTGAGTTGGAAGCATGAGGATTGAGGTGTCTATTATTTCCTTCTGCGAGATTACTTTTTGCATTGCTGAAAAAAGAATGCCGTGCATAGTAGTTGTTAGTACTTTAATGGGATGTTCCTTCTACTCAAACTTGTCTTCTTGTTTAGATGCTGATGTTGTGACCTTGGCTTCAAGCGACAGGAAAGGCTGTAACTCGATAATTTATAGGTTAGAGATTATGAGAATAGAGCTGTTCTCAGTATATGGTTCTCAGGTATGTTTTACTCTCTTGGTGGCCATCTTTCTTTGTTATGTTGCGTAAGACGGTTCCGGTTGATCCTGGGGTTGGTCTGCTGTCTGGTTCCATGTATATCTATATTGTTTCGTTGTGACTTGTCGTGTCGTCTTCCGACATGACCCAACCAAATAGGTCATGTAAAAAGTGTTGAACCTTCCTGTAATTCTGCAGTTTCTTGTTTTCAGTGCGAAATTCATTTGCAAGATTTTCTAGATGCTGAGCCCGATATCCTTGTACACTCCACATCAGCAATTCTAGACCACTTTAGCGAGAAAGGAATTAGGTGCAATGTTGCCCTGAAAGCTCTCTGCAAAAGGAAGGGGCTTCATGTGGAGGTAAAGGAGACGGCCTCTGTAATTTGTCATAATCTCTTTGAAGCTTCTCCATGGATGCGCTAGGACTTTCCTTCACATTTTAGTGGCTTGTGGATCAGAGCACTGCATGTGTCGTGGTTTGTATGTGTTTTGCTTTAGTAACTTATAATGTTGATACATTTTTCCTTTAGCTTTTCCTGGAAAACTCTTTCTACCTTTTGCTCTTTCACCCTAGTGATATATGTATGGGAATGATCAGTATTTATACATTGTAGTTCCAATTTGTTCAGTAGAAAGCCATACTCAAGAATGTCCTTGAAGCAACCTATTAAGATCCTAGCCGATCTAGATTATTAATTTTCTCCTCTGAACGTGTGTGATGATACTACAAGCTTCCTGGTTTGACATGTCTTCTCCCACTAGATTTATTTCCCATCCCAACCTCAGTATATCTTTGTGTAATGTCATCTCCCCAATATTTTATTCTTGTCTTTTCCTGGATCCATCAAGGTTAAAAAACAAGATTTTTGTGTTCTCTACGTCATGTATCATTTGAGAAGAAGCATTTAGCATCTGTCATGCGGAAAATAGCTTAATATGGTATTCTTGTATCATTTCTTCTTAAAGGTTTTGTAATTTGTTCTCTCTTGTTATATATCCCATTTTGTATGTTTGGACTGCGCCTTGCAAACCTTTGATCTTTTGGCAATTCAATTACTGCTGTTCATTTACAAGTCCTTTAGTTTCTGATCAAATATCTATTCATATAGGGAGCTAATCTAATTGGAGTTGACAGTCTGGGCATGGATGTCAGAGTTTATTCTGGAGCCGAAGTACGAACGCACCGTTTTCCTTTCAAAACTCAGGTGAGCAATACTTGGTGCAATTTAAAACTGAAGACTTGTACCTTGTCTTTTCTTTCGACCATAAAAAACGTGGCTTTTCCTCATCTGTCAAAATCATTTGGATTTTACCTGTAATAAAAAAATAATATATATATATAATTTGAGCCGCTAGGAGCACCTGCAAGTGTGCCAAGGTGCACGCTCGTGCCCACAGGGAAGAGAAAGATGCAAAAGCCTCATATGTCATTAACTAATGAACTAAGGTCCAACTACTCTTCGCTTCATCAAGATTGACAGGATTATCCCAGGAGATAGTTCATGGAGAAACCGTTGCACTCTTTTTCATTCTCTTCTTTATCTTTTGCACTCTCCTGCTCTGGTTGTTTGATGGTCAAAAACCATATTTCATGCAGGCCACATCGGAAGCTGCAGCAGAAAAGCAGATTCAGCAACTATTATTCCCGAGGTCACGGAGGAAAAAGTTGAGAACTCATGGTGATGGATACAGAAATCCCGACCCTTACTAGCTCTACCGATTTTCTCTGTGATAGGACCCGAATTTTCGGAGTAATAATTAGGAATAAGTCAGCCATAAGGTAGGCTTTGATTTTGTTATTGATATTTTTGGCGATGGGTAACGTTTTTTTCTGTTTAATTGTTGTGCAATAGTTCAATAAGTATAGGGAGAATGTAGGAGAAGATTTGAGTAGTCCTGGTAGTCATCTCCTATCTTGTACTAAGGGATGCAAAATTCGAGAACTGCTGGAGATTTGTTAAAGTGATCATCGAAATCAAAGTTAATGGCTTCAGCCTTGCGCGAGCTTTATCCACTTTTGTACATTTATATAGGCAGATGATAGTTGTGCCTTGTTCCTGTGTTTAGGGTCCTACTTTATGAGGTAAAGAAGAGGGACAAGATGGAACAAACGTCGATCCAAGAAAAGAATTTAAGTAAAGTGATGAATAAAATCATGGAAAAAGTACCTCAGGCCACATGATGTTGAACCTACGCTTCTTGGTTGATGAAATTTTTAAGTAATCGGACAAGTACCGCGAAGCCGATATTGGCTACAATTAAATGTACTTTCTGAACTGCGCGTGCATATTCGATAAGTTTTTCACATAGATTTACCTGGTTTGATGGGGAAAATTGTCAAAAAAGTCATAAATTTATTATACTTTTGCCAATTCAGTCCTAAACCTTTTAAGTTTGCCAATTTAAACCTAAACCTTTTCACTTCTTTCCAATTCAGTTCTAAACCTTTTCACTTCTTGCCAATTGAGTCTATTTGGCCGGCCGGTGCTAACGTGGCCACCGGCCGGCGCTGACATGGCCGTCCGGCCAACGCTGACATGGCAATTTTTAAATATTTTTTTTCGAATTTTTAAATTTTTTTTTTAGCCTTTTCCCTCTGGCTGGTCAGGCGGCCAGCGACCGGCCAGAGGCGCGGCCTCGCCGGCCTTTGGCGAAGCTCGCCCCCGCCGGCCATTGGCGAGGGTGAGCCTCGCCGGCCTCTGGCGAAGCTCGCTCCCGCCGACCACCGACGAGGGCGAGCCTCACCCGCCGCTGCGAAGCCGGCCTCAACATGGCTGGGCGAGGCTCGACCTCGCCTAGATCTGGCGAGGTCGACCTCGCCGTTGCTGGGTTTTGACCTCGCCCAGCCATGGCGAGGCCGACCTCACCGTCGCTAGGTTTCACTCGCCCAGATCCGGCGAGGTCAAGCTTCACCCAGCCAAGGCGAGGCCGGCCATGCCATCGCAAAACCCAGCGATGGCGAGGCTGACCTCGCCGGATCTAGGCGAGGTCGAGCCTCGCCCAGCCATGGCGAGGCCGGCCTCACAGCGGCGGGCGAGGCCGATGAGATCGACCTCGTCGGACCGGCCAGAGGGAATAGGCAGAAAAAAAAAAGAAAAAAATATTTAAAAATTGTCACGTCGGCGTTGATAGGACGGCCGGCGGCCACATCAGCGCCGGCCGGCCAAATGGACTGAATTGGCAAGAAGTGAAAAGGTTTAGGACTGAATTAGCAAACTTAAAAGGTTTAAGACTGAATAGGCAAAAGTGCAATAGGTTTAAGACTTTTTTGACAATTTTCCCCGTTTGATGAAGTGAATTTGATCTTTCGTAATGGCCAGAAAAAGATCAAAGTTTACTGCAGCAAAAGAAAGCCATATTGAGTTGGGGTTTCTCAAATAGATTGACGAGAAATATAGATCAAATCAAAGCAATTTCCAGTGTCCTTTGCAGCCAAGATCACTGCAGGTGCAGGGGAGTGATCAAATGGCAATTAAATAGCCAAGAAGGTTTCCTAGGTCAAAGAAATGGATGGATTCAGTGAAGCAAACGCAAGAAACTCCCCACCTGTTCCAGTATGGACATCTCTTGTTCCTCCAACACGATCCATGCTTCTATTCCATTGCCAGACAGTGCGTGCATCATGACGACCGCGTTCTTGAACACATCGTCCCCAATGTTCCCGGTACTCGCCCATCTGGGCCTCCCCCACCCGAAATCCAAGTCGTTGAATCCCACGCCGCACCAACTCACGAAAGTGTAACAATCTTGCCTTATCTTATATAGATCTGATCCACCTCTCCTAGCCACTTGGAAATTCCCGCAAACGCGGCGTCCCCTTGAACTTTCTTCATGCCGTCGCCGTTTATCTCAGCAAAGGATCTTCTCACTGACTCGACCAAATCATGCAGTTTAACTTCTGGCCTTGTGTTTTCATAGATTGCGAATGCCTTCCAAGCGACATTTCTGATTGAATATTCGGGCAGAGGCGGTACCGTTCAGGCAGAGGCGGCAGAGGTTCACCGAGTGGGCCACTGCCGATGGGGGCTGCATGCTGGACAGTGTCCTAGAAGCTCTTATTGCATGTTTCCAAATGAATCCGGTCAGCGCTTCAATTCGAGTTGGGTTTGGAACGAATTCATTCCTGGCAAGCTTTTGAAGTTCATAAAATGCAATATACTAATAAGAAATAGTTGGTTAACCTACTCCCCATATGACCAAATTACACTATCATAAGAATTTTCGAGTTGGTTGAAAGGCTAAATCAGACTGTTAATGAACTCACCTAGCATTAAGTTTTAACTTTGATAGGGCTGCGGAGTCGAACACGAATCTCCTCGGACTGCTCATTCCCGGTTTGGTAAAGGGGTTCCCAAGCCACATTCTAGCATTGCTAATGCTAGGCATCGTGTCACTGCTCGGGAAGAGGGTCGATGCGGCTGTGCAGTCCGCCTGCATCGCTTGATCGGGAGATCCCATGGCTATGGCGGTCCATGTCCTCAAAAAAGCCATAAAGGTGGTCACATCAATGATCTTGTGCGAGCCAGAAGTTCCGATAACGATCTCACCATATGATAGCACGTTCATTTGTATCCCTCATAGAAATGCTTCCTCTACCGGCACGGTGGAAACCCCGTGCAATGGAAGGAACTTGTCTAGCAGCCTAATATCGGGTTTCTCGACGAACTCCAAGAGCAAACAGTCCACGCGGGCCTCGACGTACAGCACCCCGGCATCGTTGCAATCGATACAGAGGTTGTTTTCACCGAGCCGCCCAGAGAGCTACTAAAACCGGGCCAGGGCCTCGGAGAGAGACTTCTTGAGAGTGCAAGAGATGTGCTCAATTTTCATGGAGAGGTCACAAGTTGGGTCACTTGGGTAGAAGAAAATGACGGGCGTAGTACATGACGGTCATTTGGTCAAGGAGGCACAGGTTGAAGGTCTTCAGGTGGTGAGGCGTTGGTGATGAAGGCTTTATGGTCTCTCTGCTGATCACTTCAACTTGCATCTCCATTGTTGCTGCACTGTTGCATGTAGCAAGATCAGCAATTTATAGCAAGGTGGACTTAGACTTTCTTCAATTATTTTCAGGGTCTCCTTTTCATTTCAAGATGCTTTTGCTTCCATGTTGAGATTCTTGGAGATGAAAACGAAAAATTGAGCTAAGCAATGGGACAAGCCCTCAAATCATAAACTATATCTCTGTCTGTCCACTGATGTAACCGGCATTTTGGAATAAAACTAAAGACAATCGGCAACAAAGGCCGCCAGATGTCCAGCCAAAACAAAAGACGAGAACACGTCGAAAAAGAACTTAATTAAAAGTATATGGATTGAATAAACTATTAGATGTTTATCTCCTTTTCTTTAACGTTAGCACTTAGCAAGGCAAATCGTAACCTTTCGGCTCGACTAACCCCATGTCCAAATGCATCAAGTGACACTTCACGCAGGTGCGGCCCTCAAGATTAATCTAAGTGAAAGACATTGTGATTTAAATATACATCTGCTGCATCAAGATCGAGTGTCTAACCATTCAACTAACTATTGAAGGTTTACTATAAAAGAACCACGAAAAGATAATTCGAAGAAATTTTTGTGCCTTTACAATTGTTCTGGACATGGAAGCGCCAATATGTTTGTCAAATTTAGTCCAAGTCTGCCACATCAAAATCGCTTGCGGTGGTCTGATTTCCTTGTCAAATTCTTAGACAATGACCAATGCTCCCTCTTTCTTTTCCGCAAAGACACTCGAATCTTTGTCATGAAAATGCTTCCCTCTCCAGGCAAATATTTCCTCAATTTGGATCATAAATCAGTTTCGAAATTAAGGACAAGTCCTTAAACTAGTCAATTTCATGCATGAATCTTAAAACTTTCATTTCTTACATTTGAGTCCTAAAACTTAGTAACTTTTAGTCCAATTGAATCCTTCCACCAACGGAAGGAATGAATCAAAGTGCACACCACATTGCCACCACTTGGACTGAATTGAACTGAACAAAATTTTAGGACTCAAATGCACTAAATTAACAAGTTTTATGATTTGCCTTGTAATTATTCCTATAAATTAAATAGCATCTCTAAGAACTTGACAATGCGATTCCACCACCTTAAACCAGGATGCTAGTTAATTTGGAAGTGCCATAACATTTGAGATAAACAACATATTGGCTAGTACGCCAGCAATAATGTGGAAGACATGATTGTTAGCTCCCTACACTGCACAGATTCATCAGCAGCTCCAGAAAACCTTGAATTTCTCCCAAGCAATTGAGCAAGGAATGATATTAGCATGAAGACTCAGAAAGATGGTGCGTCCCGGGTCATGCAAGCCCGCAGGCAATTATTAACTCTAGACCAGGAAGAATGAACCCGAAGATGTTACCCCCTTAGCTCATAGCAACAAATTCAATAAAGAATCCTGCTAAGGACTTTCAGCAGGCCATCACTCTTCGACAACATTTATGTTTTAGAGAACCCAAGGTGAACCGGGTCCATCAAAAGTGACCTTGAAGATTTGGTGTTTACATTCAACAAAACCTACCTTCCTCCAACAGCAATTAATGTCACCAGTTAATTTACCTTCATTCAGAATCACCTCTAAGCGTACCGGGGGCTATTGCTAGGTTTTCTGCGCTCGCACCTGGCTATATTCTAAACAAAGGGGCGTTTCAAAATTTCATCAGATGTAACCATACAAGTGCAGTGATCCAGGATAAAACGGATCATGCAGCCATCACACTCTCTTCATTCCTTCCAGCTTTGCCTTTGCGGTTCCAGATTGGAGTGGACTCGATGAGCTTATGGGGAACAAGCCGCCTTTCCCGCTTTGTAAGCTTTTTGAAATTGCTTACTCTCAGCTTTGCTATCTCAGCCTCTTCCTCGGCAGTTATCTCCCTGACTACTACTGTCAGGCGGCAGTCGGGTCTCACTTTGATTCCACATCTTCCTTTTGAATGGTAGCTAATTCTCTTCTGGTAAAATCCCTTTCCTACAAATGCCTCAGCTATATTCGACAAAAAGGAAAGTCAAAACTAATCAGAGTCAGCATTAAACAAATTGAAGCATTTCCCATTCAATAATTTACCAACAAGAAGTTTTTCGGGATCTAATCCATGGTTGTGCGTCGCATTTGCTCTGGCAGAGTGAATAACCTGAAAAATTCAGATTATAACATGATTAGTGTATAAATAAATGAAAAGTAAGTCTTAAAAACAACAAGAAATAATAGGAAATTAAAAGTGCCAAAAACCATCCTCTCTTTTTCTATGAATAACACTCAGTATCGCCTATTTCTAGAATCCCACTTTGCATTTAGGACAAAACTCCATAGCCAAAAAAGACCAAATTACCCTTTCTAAAAGAAAACAAAAAAAAGTTAATTCTCAAATCATCAAAACTATAATCTTTCTACTGCTTTTGCCGTGTCTGGCCACAATTGCTAGCATCATTGTCTCTCTCTCTCTCTCTCTCTCTCTCTCTCCCCCTTCCCCCCCCCCCCCCCAAAAAAAAAAAAACAAAAAAAAATCATTCCCACTGCACATCGCATTGAAAGCGTTGCAACACGAGCTCGTGGTGGACAAGAATGCCACTATCGGCCAGCTTCACCTCCATAGAGATAGATAGATAGATAGAAAGAGAGAGAGAGAGAGAGAGAGCTCCGTCGTGGTAGCGATGGGCAGTACCAACATTGGAGGAAGAGAAACAATAAACCGGGTAGTGGCAGCAGAAGCTTTGCTAGAGTTAGGACTTTTTTATTTATTTTGAGCAAGGGAGGTGTTTTCAGGGAGAAGGAGGGGAGAGAGTTAGGTAACTTGTCCAATAGGCTCATAATGAACCTGAGGGTGCAATGCAACGACTTTAAAAGCAAAAGATGTAAAGTAGTTCCACAAACAGCGAGGCGAGAATGATTCTTGAATTTTTTAAAGGAAAAATGAAAAGTCACATCATCTAGAGTCATATCACCTGGTAGACAGTTTTTGCAGCTCTTTTTATGGTCACTTGCAATTGCAACAGTGCATCTTCAACACGCATTCCACGAACCAAAGCAGCAACCAAATTGACCTTCTTAGGACTCTAAAACCAGAAGAGAAGCTAAAATTACAGCGTAAGCATGAGCGTCTAATTCAAGGGAACAATAAACAAAAAAGGCACCAAATTGTAGCAAGACATACTGTCGAATTATAAAATCATAGAAGAAGAGCTTTCAACAATACATCAACCCACAACATACACTTTCAAGAGATAAAAAGGTAAAAATATGAGTATTACTAAGGGTGCTGAGAAATGCAACACCGATGCTCTATCACAGCACCACAGATTATCTGGAGAAAAGAAGCATCCTACCAGATCCTGTGTTTGCAGAGCCAAACTAAGCAGCAAACAAGTCATTGGCACAAGTCCTTTTTCTTAAGCAAGTTATTTCAAGGACAAGATATATGAAAGTATATAAACAATATCATCTGCTATAATTAGTAGCCTTATGAGACACTAAATATGGTCTCATAAAAACTTATCAAATTGCCTTCTAAAAGCATTTGAGTAATGCTGGATATAATAAGACCAGTTTACCATTGATATGTTAAACAATCTGACAGACTACCAAATGGACATTTAATAACTGGTCATATTAACAACTAATAAGAATCTACTATTTCACTTAGTACATCAAATTTTTAAAACAGTCTTAGTAGTCCTAGAACTCTACAAAACGAACCTTAGAACCACAACTCAAGATCACCATATGGATCCTCACATTTATGTGATCTTAATCAATCTTATTGGATGACTGGGCCAGAGAAACTTTTGACCAAATGTAAATAGAACCTACATCTCCACACAAAAGATAAAAATGAGCACAATCTTGCAACTTTACCTGCTTTATGCCTTTCAATACTGCTTGAACTTTTGAAGGCTTAGAAACCACTTTCTGACTTTCACCCGTTCCACTGCTTATTTGCAACATAGGTGTTAATGGAGAAGAAATAGGAGCTGTGTCAGATGAATCAGCCAGAAGCTTTCTTGAACTGGAAATCCCCTGCAACAGAGAAGAGATTACCTTATTAATGTCACCAAATTATCATATTTCAAGAAAAGAAAAGCTATGTATCAAGCTGGCTGTACATGACAGTTTATACTTCGTACCATCAACCAATAACAAAGTCAACCGTAGCCCCCAATATCAGAATGCTCATTACCAGTAACCAAACAACCTTACACACAGGAATGCACCCTCTACTCCCAGTTTTAAACTACATGGTAGATATCAACTGGTTACCTGTTGCTTAAATAATTTCTTCCCTCTTCACAAACTTGCTTCTTCTTTTTTTTTTGCAGTTTTGTTTCTTCTTATAGTTAGGTTCTTATAATTTCATGAAGATCAATTTCCACTTTCTTGTACTTTAAAAATAAAATTGCAATGTCAGCATGTATGTCAGCACATTGACAATGTCAGTGAAGGAAGGACCTGTTGCACAAATCCTACAAGTTGTGGGACTTGATTTCACAAAAAAAAAAAAAAAGGTCAAGATGGCCAGATCGAACAAACGATACTTCAAAAACAAAAGGTAGACTTAACCTTAACATGAATTATCAATGTCTATAGCCCAAAAAAACCAATATCATTTTGTCATAATAAAAATCTCCGCTGCTATACTCATATGCGAGTGTACTTCCTTAAACAGATGCAGCAAGTACATCATTACATCCATAACTGTGCCAAAATAAAAAAGTATTCCCCGTGCTCTGAAAATAAAGGAATATCTTCAAAGTAATTCTTCTGGTAAGTTCAAAGAGCGATAATAGTGAGAATGATTGTATACCCACCAAGTTCATGGAAGGGTACTTGTTCAAATTGGTAGGATGGAGAAAACCCAACTGTTTAGGTCTGAAAGTTTTAGATCTTAATTCAGTTCAGCTTATTTATACCTTTAAGAAATGCAACTAGCAAGTGTGTCAAATTGCTATATTGTAGTTGTCCCATAATAAACGTACAACTTATTGCTAATCCTAAAATACACCAACACATGGAGTATAGTATAATTATTGTAAGTGATAAGCTTAAGCTCCAAATCAAACTTTCCAACCACTTGAACCAAACTCATCAGCATGATCACCTTGGCTTTTAATGATTTTGGTTTGGGAGAGGGTGAAGTGAGACGAAAAATAAACATAAGGAAACATTTCCATTGTCTGGGAAGAAGAGAAAGAAAGATAAACACGGGAAAAGGGGAAATAAGAAAAAAGTATTTGCCTTTGGGCCTAACAAAAATCTCTCATGAAGAATTAATTGAAGCCGATGCAAATCCAAAAGGCTCGTAAGTTGAAACATGTAATTCCTGAAGTAGCCTCTTATTTCTCACTGTCAATAAGACTAGTCACATTTCAGTTTTACTTTTGTTTCTCACCACAAATATGACAAATGACACTTCAGGCTATTATTTACTTCATTCCCTTCCACAGCTTTTATCCCAACAAGATATAAGCAAACAAAAATCAGGGAAAGTCACGATAACCTCTGTCTTCTTTCTCTGGGTTCCTCTCTCCAATTTCCCTTTCAATTCCTTCTATAACTAAACTTACAAAACAATGTAAGTCTTGACCATATATGAACCATTCCTAGAATTGCAACTATGAGTCCTGGAGGTGCCCACCCACGAAATTACTATGCACAAGACATATTCCCCACATCTCTACTCTATCTATCAGCTACACTTGACTCACACAGACATTTTAAATCACGGTCAAAGGAAGGTCCAAGTCGCATCGTTAGTCACTGAAGCCAGGCGAAGCTGGCGTTGATAACCAGTCACCGATCTCACGGCCATTAAAGGCATGACAGCTAATCACAATGCTAGAGCAGGCCCCGAAACAATGTCAGCGCAGAACGATGGGCTCCCATTGCAGTCCCTACCTTCGGTTTTACGAGACCCAGGTAGCAGTATGTCTAACTAATGACCCAAAAACATCAGATAATGGGAGAAAACCAGCATTACCGACTGCTGAAGATACTGGTACAGCGGCCTCAGGACGTTTGCAGAAGGAGATTCCCATAGTCTCTGTAAATTGGGGGCGCCAACTGCCAAGAAACTCCCAAGCTATCAAATTTTTTCGTGTTCGACTCACTAGACAGCAAGACAACCGAAATTTACAGGATCTTTCGATTGGTTATCGCGAGATTGAACATGGACTGACCAGATGCAGAAGAAGACAGCAGGCGGGAACAAGAGAAGCCGGCGGCTGCATTGCCATTGATCTCCAGTCTTCTCTCGACATGGCACAGTAAGGTTCGCAACTGTGCCCGCCAAGCCATCCCTCTGAAACAACTCTATCCTGCAGACATCAAACGTAAGGAGAAGTGTCGCTGGTTCGAGGTTGTGCGGGACAAGCGAACGTCGACGAAGGCGACGGACATCATCGTTACTCACCTACCTCGGTTTCCGACGGCGGCGAGCCGGCGAGCTAGGCGCGGCGACGGCGAAGTTTGGCGGAGGAATCGGTCGCCGGCGAAGTGCGAGAGAACGAGAGGGAGGCGGTGGAGCTGGGCCGCTGCTCCGGCGGCGACCGGAGTTCGGAGATGGAGAGAGAGGTCCGACGGCGGCGGTGGCGGCGGTGGCGGCAAGGGTTGCTTCGGGTCGGAGCGCGACTGCGATGTGCGACCGAGGGAGAGAAGAGGGACTTGAGGCAGAGGAAGGTTGAGGTTAGAATTGTCTTTTCTCAAATATTATTTTTTTTGTTTATACTTAAGTTTTTTCTTGGTCGAAGTTAATACTTAGTTTTTTTTTTCTTTTTGGTTGGAAAATGTCAATACTTAGTTCAATAAAAGAATTTGCAACCAAAAAAATGTTGTTATATTTTATCAAATATGATTATCAATTACATTATTTTGCGGGTATTTTTTATTTCCAAATTTTTTGGTGCATCTTGAATCTTCATCAATAGACCATTTGAGCGCGAATGATAATTATTATATTTCTTAAATAAATTTCTGACAAAAATAGATTTTTCTATTTCTATTCCCCGGACGAGTTTCTGAACAGAAATGCGCATCTGATAACGACACAAAATTTCTCCCTAGTGCTTGGAGTCTTTCTTATAGTTCTGTCATTCTTTGACGGCTTGCTACAATTATTTATCAACTAATTTTAAGTTACCAAGTCATATTTGAGCCATTTCTTAATATTGATCGTGTCTTTCCCGAATTACTAATTTTTCTAATGACTCACCAATTTACTAACCTTTTGTCACATGGAGTTAGTAACTAGCTTTAGATTATTATCCCTTATTAGAGCCACTTATCAACCTTGATAAGGTCATTTCGTATTACTAAACTTTCTAATAACTTATCTGTTTTTGTTGAAATTGCCAATTTTTATATGACATTTCCAACTTATCTCTTCGACGAAATTACCAACTAGTTTAAGGTTACCTACTCCTAATTGAATCACTCACCAAAATTTATTTGATCGACTTCGAGCGAGCAATTTGTGTAATAACTTACCATCATTTATTGAAGTTACCAAACAATGAAATTTTATTTTCTAAAAAATTATAAAAACATATAGTTAGTATTTTTTTTGTCATAACATATAGTTAGTATTAGAAAAGGTTGGTAATTGGGAATTGATCAAGCGAATTTAAAGAGTGTGACTCAAATAACAATGGTTAACCTAAAACTAATTAGTAATTTCTTTGGGGGCCGCGCTTTTTCCACTCCTCAGATGATTTAGACACTCCCATTTTTTGTGTTTTGGCCATATTATCCTTTATGGGGCCCATCATTTCTAGTACAACTCCACAAAAGTGATCTTTTTTTATTATTTGGATATCATTTCTTTTTTTTTTCCTTTGCGAGTCTCACTTTCCTTCTTCTTCTTTTTTTCATGCCTTTGACGTCTTAATTCTTCACTCTTGCGAATCGCCTTTGGCCTCCATTGTTGTCAAAGAAAATAGATTACCTCAATTCTCCTAAGATCAAACAACAAGATTAAACATATCATGTATCATTATTTCCAACAAGTCAATTAATGAGAAGCAGCAACAGCACCACAAAACTGATGATGAAAAACTTATGGAAACGATAGTGAGAAATTGAACCCAGAGGAAGAAAAAGTTTATAAGACGTAAGTATGCTACAGACTACAAAGAAACTATGCAACCGATTCACAAACACTGTTTTGATGCACACTATACTCTAAACGTAGAATTGAATCACAAAATCAAGAATTTCCATGACCCAAAAGTCAAATTCACTTTTATGAAAAGATATTAAGAAATACTCAATAGAGATCGGGATGAGCATGATTCAAGAACAAGAAAACTAAAAAGAAAAAAAAAACTTTTGCCAGAACCATTCCTCCAATAACAAATGAGGAGTGTGCCGATTGCTAAAGTAAGCAGTGTTTGGGGGATTGCAAATGTTTGATAGATTTACTGGAGAAGAAGGAGGAGTGCGAGGCCTAAGAGAATGACTTGTCAGAGAGAAAATATAGAGACGATTTGCAAAAGCGAAGAATTGAGATGTCAGAGACATGGAAAGAAAGAAAAAAAAGGAAAGTGGGACCCGCAAAGAAAAACAAGAAGGATCGAATAATTAAAAAAAAATCACTCTTCTAGAGTTATACCAGAAATGATGGGCTCCACAAGGGATGATATGGTCAAAATACAAAAAAAAGGAGTGTCTAAGCTAAAGGAGGAGTGGAAAAAGCGCGACCCTTTCTTTGGAGAAAAATAAATTGGTAACCAACTTGAGCAAAGTTCGTCATCATGTATTATGCCTGAGGGTTGTTACCCAATTGGACCGCCGATGAGGTGCTCACAAGGCATTTCCAAATGAATCCCGAGAGGACCTCAACGATGGTTGGGTTCGACACATCTTTGCCTTTAGGGTTTCTATCGCTGCAGCGTTGAACACGTACATCCCCGGCCGAGCTCTTCACTTCGCCAATGAAGGACTTCCCGACCACATGAGAGCACGAGCCAGCAAAGATCCCCGGGGCGGAAAGAGCGTGGAAGCCAACGCATACTCACTAGCATCATCTTCCTGAAAAAAAATATATGTTAGATAGATTTGTTTTATAAAATCGCATGGTAAAACAAAGTCGATCATATTTACGGAACCAAGGTCATGTAAGAACTTTTGCTTTATAGGGGATCCAATGTCGGTCACCCTGTTTCTTGATAAGTGATTGGCATAGTCTATTATGCTAGATCTATGCAATAACTTCCCATCTATACCTTATCAGTAGATCGTCCTCTAAAGACAGCTGCCCATTTTCTGAGGAGGAGCTGATTAGTGTTCCATCAATGATCTTGTGCAGGAGAGAGACCCCAACAGCAACCCCACCACAGGCAAGCACATTCACTTGCACAGCAACTTGAACTGCCACATCTTCAGGCACAGTGCAAATGGTGTGGCAAGGCAGAAACTTGTCTCAAGGAGTTCAAGATTAGGGTTTTGCAAGACCTCCGATAGAGTACAGTCCATAACTTGTGCTTCTGAAAATGAAGCACCTTCATCTTTGCACTCAATGTAGAGGTTGTCCCTGATCCTGCCTCCTAGTTGGTAGAAGCGGGCTAGGGTTTCTGAGAGGGAGTGCTTGAGCCTTGTGGCTATTGTCTCTTCGGCCTTGTGATGATGGCCATTTGCATGAGTTTCATCACTCATGGTGTAGTAGAGAATGACTGTAGTGTAGACTGATGGAGCCATCTGATCCAAGAGTGAGAGGCTGAACTTTCTCAGGTGGTGTGGTGTTGGTGAGGATGGCTTGATGGTGTCTCTTGAAACAACATTTCCTTCCACCTTCCTTCTTCTTTTCTTGGAACGAGATGGTGGGTTTGATCTCTCTGCTACCTGGATGATATTACAGGTTTTAGACAATGTTCTGTGGGAATTTTGTGCGCAAACTCATAGCTTTGCATGCTCATTTAAAGATCTTTGGCAAGTAAGTCCAATTTTTTTGGAACATCACTCGTGACTAGCGGTAGTAATTAGGTGCTTTGGCCTTCGACTCTATGTAACCTTGTAATAATAACTCACTATGATCATGGCAAGTCAACTGCCACGATCGGCCAGAATCTAATTGATTGTCTATTATTAGCCAAACACTCCCAAATAATAAAAAAAGAGAGGTCCACTGTCTAGCATTTTCCATCATAAAAGAAGTCCAATTCCTAGGAAAGTTCAAGGTAGTGAGATGAAGATGATCAACAGATTCCCTGAGAATAGAGACAACTGTATAATGGCAGCAATTCGAATTCTTCACTTATGCATGGGAGCTATCCATAAGTGACCGCCCATTGATGTTGCATGAGTCGATGCAAGTGGAATCAATATATATTGATGAGAAGATAGATCGTTTTCACCAATCAATTAATGTTCGAAATTGCCAAGCTGAAAATTGATGGATCGGTAATAGATTGCTATCGCTAACAGTTTCGACAAGTGCAGTTCGTAACGATGTCGAATGTCAAGCTAAAAATGCTCCAACGTTGATATCTCAAAGCCATTTCTTTCCATGCGAATATTTTCAGGATAAAATACACTTGCTACTGTGATTCCTACGTATAACTCAATCTTTCTACATTTGTGTTATCTCATAATCAATCACAACGAGTACAGTGAGAATCCTTTTGACTGACTTAATCCTTTTGACTGACTTGCTGTGAGAAAAGATGACAGCATGTGATGAAAAGCAAAGAGGGCCCCAAAAAAAAAAATAAAGAAGAAGATCAGTTGGAAACTCTATTTTAAGCCTGAATAGCAGCCAATCGAGATTTCAAGATTGGCCCAGTTCCATCACCTTCGTGGAAGGGCGTAAGCCAACTCCCTTTTTTTAAACACAGTGCCTCTGAACCTTATAAAATTGATTTTGGAGGGTTTAATTGGAGATATAATCTATGGTTCTATCACATGAGATCCAATTAATCATTTTATGATAAGAGAAATATAACTTAATTATATTTTGCTTGCCTCCTGATCACTTCTACTGAACTTGATACATCCCTATAGATTGCTTTGATCCCTTCCAAGATCTCTCGAGTGCCGGGGGTGTGATTTGTGACAGTTTGTTCTCTGCAAAAGAAGTTGAAATTGCCTCGTCAAACTTCAATGTGTCTAGAGATCTGTTCTTTTGGCTTATAGAGCTAGTTCATGAATTAATGTGTAACTTTGTTTGGTGCTTGAGTATGATCACTTACTTAGATATACGCTTAAAGTTCGTCATGTTGTTTTATGGACTAATTTCATAAGCTAGTTATTCCTATTCGAAGTATTTTTCGAATGACAGAAGCTTCAAACATGATTAAGGAAAAAAAGGGTTGGTTTTACTCCAATAACCTAGAAGGTTAAGCGAACTTTTAGGCTCGTGACTCTTGTCAAAGGTGCAATGGGATCCCTCAAACCGTTTTTTTTCTAACAATCAAGATCTTCAACTCTCGTAATTTATTTAATCGAGTCCTCCAATTCTCGCCAAATATATTATCGAGTTCTTCCTTAGCAATTTGTCAATTATGTCTACATGCCACTAATTATGTGAAGAAAATTGCCATGAGCTTTTTGGTCTAGGAGACTCTCGTCGTGGTTAGGCGACGATGACTCGATCGGCCCTCACTCGTCTATGACAAGCAGTTATGCCTCGCTTGTGGTAGGCAAGGCAAGGGCCAAACTGGGGCCATGTGAGCGCTCGTTGCTAGACCCTTGTATGTCAGTGGCAAGAACTCATCGTCTAACTCTAAGGAAAGCCTGTCTAGCCTCGCTCGGACACAGCAAGGGCCAACTGGCCCTTTTCTGCTGACTAGCAAGGCCGACAACCCCTCTACGCTAATATCTTGAACTTCCTGATAATTAGCCAATAAGGGTACGAAGTGTTGGAGTTGGCGAATACTTCGGGGACCCTTGTTTCTCACACCGGGTACGCCCACGTGAGCTTAGGAAAACTGAAGAGTTGTCCGACGACACGTGACCCATGCGTGCGGAATGCGGGGTTCGGGCGCGCGCCCGACACGGGTGCCTGCCGTACTTGGCCGGGTGGAAGTGGGGTTCGGGCGCGCCCCGGGATGTGGGGTCTCCATTGGCGCCGGTCGGCCGGATTGGCCGCCGCCCGCTCGCCAGGTGGTGAGCGGGCGGGGCTGAGGGCGCGCCCTAAACCTCAACGGGTTTGGGCTGGCCCGTATGGTGCGAGATTAAGAGATTTCATATAGGTTTAGGTTTTAGGCGCGTTTGGGGCATATATATATTTTACTCGTTTTTTGCGTGATCGTTCTGTTTCGGTTCTCGATACATCCCTTCACGAAGGGTCGATTGTCCGCTAGGTGAAATGTAATATTCCGCTCGTTTCGTCCGCTTGACATAATTACCCGTCTTCATGATTATAATAACGACGATATTGTTTAAAGCGTATGTGTTCACGCGGCACTTGTTGGCCAATCGAGTAATAACATATGTTTTGTAATACCGATTTTCTCGTGCGTCATGTACAACAAATCAGTCGATGCCGAGGAACAGGAAGGAGCCAGCCAGGGGGGGCCTTTCCTCCTCAGTCACAACGACACAATCTACACCGACCTCGCTTCTGTCCTGTCCTGCCCTGCTGTCGACGTTTTTTCTGTAGAGAAAACGATGGAACAGAAGAAGCGTGGAGATAGAAAAGAAAATATCCCAAAACGAGGTCTCATGATAAATGAATCACAAGCACGGTCTCAATCAGCGCACACATGGAAATAATGATATTTTAATACAAAGAGGACCAAAGGAACAAGAGCGACGCGTTTGCCTCTCTGTTCTGTCGCCACAACCACACCACCCAGAAAAAGCAAAGCTGAGAAAAAGCAGCGAAGGAGGGAGGAGATCCTCTTCCCTTCCCACCTGTAACTTTCCCCCACTCACTCCCCACCCCCCTCCATCGCAGCATTACCTCCACACCAAATCAAGAAAACCTTTCGGCCATCGACGCAGGCAGTGTGTGACAGAGAGGGAGAGAGGGAGAGAAACAGGTATTCTTGTTTTCCCCTTTTGCCCGCTTTCTCCGTTTTCTTGCCTTTCCGGGTTTTCTTGATGTTTAATTATAGGATGCGATTCCTCTCGCTGTTGGGCAAAAACCCATCAATTTCGGATTTTGATCGCTGCCCGTTTCAGCTCTCTTCGCTGTCGTTCCCGTCTTCGCCGCCACCCCCCCTCCCCCCCTATATGGTTTGACGCGTTCTCTTGTCCCTCTTTGATCTTCACGCAGGATATTTGTCTGTCCTTTCCTTGTATATTTAGGGTTTCTCCGCCGGGTTGTCCCCCTTTCCCTTTTCTTTTTGCGTTTTTGATATCGCGTTGTCAACGTAAAGATCGCTCCTTGCAACCCTCTTTTCGAATTGGTCATCGGAGCCCGTGATTCGATCGACCGAATTAGTTGTTGGGTTTCGCTCGTATTTTGAGAATTAATCGATTCTTGGGTGCTTGATGGAACGCGATCTTTTTCGCCGCGGCTTCGGGGTATGTAGCAATGGCCGTTTTGTTTCTTTTCCCATTTTAAATGATGCGTTCTTGGTAGTCTTCCTGATTTGCTTGTCGTACATGTGTATCGTTGGTTTCATGCATATGCTCGTGTTCTTTTTCTGTTTTGTTCGTTAATAGTAGTTGATATTGCATTAGGCAGATGCATTGATGAAGCCTAATTTAGTCACTGTTTGTCATTATAAGTCACTGGGTTTTTTTCCGTTCTTAACATGAAGAAACTTCTTAATTTTCCTCGCGAAATGAATTTGTATTACAGTGGTCATATGTGAGATTTCTACAAGTTTTTAGTTGGTTTCTAAGTTAGTGGCGTTATGCGGGGGTTTTGGGATGAAATGTCATAGGCTTTTCCTTTTCCAGCTCACATCCGAAATTGGTACCCATATATTTGGCACTACAATCTGAGGTGGGATAATCGATGCTGCCTTGGTTTCTGAACTTCTGTTTCTAATATTCTCCAAGAATATCTTTCTATAGGAATCGAGATTTATTAAGTTTTTTAGGGGCTTCCTAATAAAGCTGATTAAGCCATGTTTGCATTTTTCCATGTTCTTGTGATGTTTGATCATCCCTTTTTCATGAAACTGGATAAAAATACCGTAGTGATGGAACTTAGGTGGTTGTTGGGTCCAAGTTAAACGTACAAGTGTCAAGTGTAGCCTAATTGTCATCTCTATAGTTCGATTACATGCACTGTAGGCAATCATATATCCCCTTCTGCTGCTGCATATGTCCTTTGTCTGTAGGTTGCGTACATTGATTTTCATTATCTTGAAAATTGGTTGAGGTTGTTATATTATAGTCTCGTAATAGATAACTTGTGAATAGTTGGGATCAGTGATTATATATGATAGGTAGAATGTCCAGAGTTTTCCTTGTCTGTGTTTGTTTTAGATTATTTACAGATCCATCCCCCGTCGCAGGCACATGCTTCTCCTCCCAGTTACTTTACGCGACTGGACAGACCGAGGGCACAAGACGATCTTTTATTGAGGAAGAGGGATAAAATGAGGAGGTGGCTTTGCTGCACATGTCAAGTGGAAGAGTCTTATCCATCCAGGGATGATGAGCTCCTCAAGAGCCCAAGGCCCCATGCTGATGGTACCATCACTAAACTCATTTCATCTGAAGAAAGCAAATTGCTTCTTCGAAACTTTTTTGGTATATTATCTATTTGCTTTAAAGTGTTTGTTTTAAATAAATGATGATGCAAGTGCAGCTTTCCGAAAGGAGTGCAAAGCTGACTCTAGGTTATGTTTGTTGGTGAGATATGCTTAGATATTAATATAAATAAAATGTTAGTAAGCGACCGAATGATTTGGAAATTTTATGTGAATAGTTATCTGTGCTGGTCTTTTGCTTCTTTCCCGGTAATACTGTACCATGAAAATCTTTAAAATGCTTGGGAATCCAGTTTTCTTTTGAGTATTGCAAGCTTTTTCTATTATTTTTCCTGGAAGTGCTTTCTCAGAATTGCCATACGGTGCTAGCTGTGATGGCTTCAGTTCTACAAATTACTGTTTCAGTGTGCAGGTTTAGTGAGTAGTTAGTATTTGATTTGGTGACCATGCATCTCCGTAGATTATGAAATTTTCTAATATATCTTTATTTTTCCACATAATCATATGAAAATCTGATGCTCAGCCAAGTTTTTTGTTGGTTTTTTTATTTTTTTTCTTAGTGAAGTGAGACATGTTTGTTTGCTGGATCAATTATAAGAACTGAACTGCTATGTTCTCTCATTTCTGTGAGAGATCTATTCCGAAGGTTTTGCAAACTCAAAATCTTCCTTTGATACTTTTCTCACACAAGAATATCTGGAAGCTGACATGGATGCAAATGGAAACATGTCTGCATCAGAGTACTTTATGTGGCTCGCTAGATCTTCTACCTGTGATTTAATGATAATTTTCAGCTGATCTTAGGATGCTATGAGTGTACATGAAGGAAAAGTGGAGTTACCTCAAATGATTTTGAAGGGGAAATTTATTCTTGCGTTTCGTATAACTTTTTGAACCAATGTAACTGAGTAATTCCCCATTTTCCTAATATAGCAATGTCAAGTCTGATAATTATCCGATACTCTATGTGAACTGTGCATGTTGCTCAATTGCTATTTCATCTAATTTCATTGCTTTCTGAGTCTGTACAACTTCATTCACTTATGACATCCATTCTTCATTCTAGGGTTCCCCAAAGGCTCAAAGGCATCAGTCCCTGTCAAGCCTGAGGTGCAGAAGGCACCGCCACCTATTGAAGTACCCGCTTTGTCTTTGGATGAATTGAAAGAGAAAACTGATAACTTTGGATCAAAGGCATTGATTGGTGAAGGATCTTATGGAAGAGTATATTATGCGAACTTAGATAGCGGGAAAGCTGTGGCTGTCAAAAAGCTTGACGTTTCTTCTGAGCAAGAGTCGAACATAGAATTTTTGACACAGGTGTGTCCTGCCTTGCTATTTGGATATTTAGCTTTTGTAGGGCATTTTATGCAGGTTTTTTGCCGGTCAGCAAGTTTTACCTATTCTGTTAATCTTGTTTCTTTAGGTCTCTGTGGTTTCAAGATTGAAGCATGAAAATTTTGTTGAATTGCTTGGTTACTGTGTGGAGGGAAATCTCCGGGTACTTGCTTATGAGTTTGCTACCATGGGATCTTTGCACGACGTACTACATGGTATTCAGCCTTTGTGGGTTCTCCCTTTTTTACTTAATTGTGTTGATCACAAGAGGAATCGTGGTATAACATACTTTTTTTTAATATTTATGGTGCAAGTACAGGCAGAAAGGGAGTCCAAGGTGCACAACCAGGTCCTACGCTTGACTGGATGCAGCGAGTCAGGATCGCTGTTGATGCAGCACGTGGTTTGGAGTACTTGCATGAGAAGGTTCAGCCTTCTATAATTCACAGAGACGTTAGATCCAGCAATGTTCTTCTATTTGAAGATTTCAAAGCGAAAATTGCAGACTTCAACTTGTCAAATCAGGCTCCTGATATGGCTGCCCGTCTTCATTCTACTAGAGTTTTGGGAACCTTTGGCTACCATGCTCCAGAGTAATGCATCTATTTTCCCTCTTTTATTTTGATCATGGGGTTCTCCGATTAGTCTGTTTAATTCGTCAAGTTGCTTCAGGATCGTTGCATTGTCGTCTCTCTCAATCATGTCTCTTCTGGTTCTAGGTTCTGTTCGTTTCACTTTCACAAAAATACGTGCATTAAAAAAGGTAAAATTATATTCGGCGGCACTGTGTCAATCCACAAAAGAACAAAATTTGTTTGGGCGATCATATCTTTTGTTTATGTCTCCATTAACAGCTGGAGCATTTTTGGGGCAAGTTTTCAGCTTGATTTGGTTTTGCACCTGTTGGTGGAAAAGCATGATGTAGATGTGATCTTCATTATGAGATTGCCTGAGACTAATACATGTTCAAAGTTTTTCTTGAATTGGAAGTTTTTGATAGCTTGTCGATACCTCTACACAAGGTGTAGTTAGTTTTACGGGTTGGAAAATTGTAAAGGGCTGTTTTAGAGGGCGTTATTAAATAAATAGGAGTGTTCTCTTAGAACCTGCTCTACCTTGGTTCATCCTCACCTATATTTAGCATTTGCCATGTCATGAACAAGCAGTTATGAACTTGATATATTGAGGTTTTTGCAGCTCAATGATATTAAGATTCATTGTGAAGTCCAGCTTGGTTCATCCTCACCATTTTAGGAGTGTTCTCTTAAAAAATCCATGGCTTGAATGCTTAATTGTACACATATGCTGGTAGTTTTGGTTTTCAGGCAAGATACCTGCCTGTTTCTGGTTTTAGTTAGGCTGAAAATTAGTTTAATTCGGGTCTTAGTCAGGAGGGGCTTCTTCCATTTTATGAGGGTCAGGGTTATATTTCATAGCTAGTTGCTGAGGTTTATACTGAAGTCACTAATGATCAGATCAACCTCAGCTTGAGAATTGCTCGCGATACATTCTCAGATCTGCAGCTTATATAACTTGGTCACTTTGCACAATTCATTTTAGGTATGCAATGACCGGGCAGTTGACCCAGAAAAGCGATGTCTACAGCTTTGGCGTCGTACTCTTGGAGCTCTTGACAGGGAGAAAACCTGTTGATCATACAATGCCCCGTGGACAGCAGAGTCTAGTTACTTGGGTGAGAGCCCTTACCTCTGCTTCCCAAAACTGAAAAAAGAAAACGCTTACTTTTCCTCTCTACGATTTCTCTATGTGCATGGGGATGGAGTTTAACTTAGATTCATGGAATGAAATGAAATGTTAGGCCACTCCAAGATTGAGTGAGGACAAAGTCAAACAGTGCGTTGATCCCAAGCTGAAGGGAGAGTATCCTCCAAAAGCAGTCGCAAAGGTATTCGTCTTTTTTACGTGCATTAGCATAAAATATATATAGTTGGTTCACATTCAATCACATGCTCTTTTTCCCAATTTTAATCATGTGCTATTTTGGTTTATTCAGTTGGCAGCTGTTGCTGCATTGTGTGTGCAATATGAAGCTGAATTCCGTCCAAACATGAGTATAGTTGTCAAGGCTCTTCAACCGCTCTTGAAAACTCCGGCTCCAGCTGCGGCTCCTGCTCCTGAGACCTAAAGCTAAACGAGTTGAAAGCTTCCTCTCACTGTTTGCCTTTTCTTGCATCTCGTGCACAGTTTGTTTTACTCTACAGAGTCGATGGAAAGGACTTGTATTCTTTTAATTTTTTGTTATAAAGATGAATGTGCGTGCATGCAGAAATAGAATGGACCCATTTGTGTTAACGACCGCGATCTGTTCGAATGATCATGGATGCTTCTTTTCCTTGAGAGTTCGGACTGAAGATGGGATTGGATTTTGTGCTTGGGTGGTGTTGCATGAGTGGTGTGAAATCTTGTTAATTTATGCATCGGATCTGATGTGGTTTGCATGAGACACCTTGAGAACTTTAGTGGCATGAGCCAAGCATGGGCTTTTGTTTATCTGATGTTGCAGTTTACTTTCGACCAAGCTGAAATGATTGAGACGGGAGAGGTTCATGTACCCTGTTGGAAGGACTTCTACATAGACTTGGTGTATGCCCTCTTTCCGCATAGTCGTGGGTCCCACACGAGCGGGGTTCATAAATATGTGAAACGAAAGGTGCATACACACAAGGCTCCTCTCGCGTAATTGTGGGGTTCCATACTATGTGGTCCGATTGTACGTGTGCAACATTCTGTAAATCGAAATTCGTATTGCTAATACTAAATTTCGATTTGAATCTGACTTTGGAGCTCTGCATCAACAATTTCCCTAACAGTTCGTGTGTATTGAGAGGTCTGATCCCTCTGCAAACATTACTATCATTCCTTTCTACATCTTTTCAAGATTAAAGACTACAGTGCAAGTTCTTTTTGATAGGGACATGCCTTCTTACTTCTCACTAGATTAATGAGGGCTTGTGCCGGTTGACAAAGTTTGAACTTCCTATTTCGTATTTTGTTCATTGGACATAGACAAATCGGTTAATCCAGATCTTAACTTTACTGGTTGAGATATTGATTGTCGCTTCGCTTAGATGACTTCCCAATTGACATGTGGTTTTTCTCTTGTGGATGAAATTCCATCTTTATGAGAGACATTCTGGCCGACAAGCTAATGATTCAAGAAAATAAATTCTCATGCTTGAAGTACTTGATTTATAAACTTGTGTGCTATCGTTTTATTTTCCTTATGGTATAATGTTCAAAATTGGCATTGTTTTGTAGTTTCATTTTTCATTTAGAATTGTTGGTATGTGACAATAAGTACCATCGCCTATGTTTTCTCTTAAGTCCTTTCCAATGTGTTGGAAGGCATCACTCTCATTGTGAATATAGTTCCTGTACATGACTTGAGTTTTATCACACCATAATTACATGTGCTATAGAGAACTCAAGGATTACTGATTCCCCTTTAATCTTAATGCTGGTAATGTAAATCGAGTCATTTTAGAGCTGTGTCTCAACTCCAAAGTTTTGTAGGGAAGAAAACATTCAGTTTATTAGAAAGATCAAGGACTAAACTACAAAGACAGTCAAACTTTAGGGACCAAGGACGCTGCTTCTATGCAACCAAGGGGAAAAAGAGCAGCACCCGAAAGATCTTCAATTCCGGTTCTGAAGTATGAGCGTTGCAATTTGCATACAAGATTCTGCAACTGTTTTTGTAGCCTTTTCCCCATTTTTACATGATTCTCATTTGGACTGACAAGACCATAACCAATGTCTTCCAATCGAGAAAAAGATCATATGATTCAAGCATCTGTGTCTCCATTCAGCATACGAAACACTGCACGTATATCTCCAAGTCTTCGACGGGAATGCTTGCTTTCCCGGCAGTGAAGCAAGAAAACCTCCTAACATGAGCAGTAAGACAGCAACACAAGCCAAGTATCGACTCGTAGTATACGTTCTCAAGATCATCCATTTTAACCACTGCCTTTATGATATTAAAAAACTTTGATCCCAGCGGAATCCATCAAGAAGTGGGGAAAAACACCCAAAGAGTTCAATATCACCTCACAGAGTCACCCGCCTTCTCCTCAGTTACACAAGTTACGTCTTGACCCAAGCCAAAACCTGCACCCTTTACTATGGAACTTCTCTGTGATTTCATGGCAAAATTGTCAACCCAAAAGCATCCCGCGTAACCCTTTCGACTCCCCGTAGCCCGGTCTCGAGGTTATATGGATTTCAGAATCTCTCCCAAAACTAGAGCCCATTGGGTCCAGTGTGTGCCACCCTATATTGCACATTCAATCAAAGTGCAAGTAAAAGCCAAAAGCGTGACTCAGGGATGTTTAACTAATTCGGCAAAGTTAAACACGAAACTCTCCAATAAAAAATAAAGGAACGAACAAGCAAAGAGAAAATAATTAACCTGGCAAAATACAGCAAATGGCTCTCTTAGCGGTCCATCACAAGAAAGTTCGCTTGTGCTCCCATCAATGAACGTTCCGTCAGCAAAGATCACCTAACAAAGTGTAAGGGAATTTTAAGAATGAAAGCTTCCTAATAATAATTTTGTATACAAATCGAATTCATTATCGTGTCTAGACAATGTAGTCATCATACTTTCATGGAAAAATCAATTCGCTACCAGATGAATATACACCATGCTTTATGTTACAGGACATCAACTCCAAAAAAACTTCATAGTTTTATAGAACTATAACATGGGTCAGTATGCTTGCAGATGACATGATACAGACATCCAAATGACTGTCATCCTACGTAATAGTTAGGGTCACCCTCTTTTGTTAAAGAGAGGTGCTGTCAGAACCAAAGAAAGCTTAAATGTAGCAACAATTCAGAAGTGAATGACGAATTGTCGAGTGCAACGATGGCATAGTCCAATAATTAAATTTGTCTCGAGAGCAATCCCCAGATCAGATGGCGCCCACTGATTGACAAGAAATGGTACGTTAAATTTACGGATAACCGCTGATGATAATTATTTGTTCATAATCAAAGAATTCAGACCTCAGAAGCATAGCCCGGAGTGACTCCCGCCACCGGTTTGGTGAATGAAGATACCGGAGAGCTTCTCTGGACAGCTTCGCAGAAAGCAAGAAGTCGTTCCCGAGTACCAAGCTGCACTGCCTGAAATGAATAGAGGATCAAAAGCCAAACCCACGTGTTATATTCAGTCTGCATAACCGCGATTATTTTGTGCTACCAAGTTGAAGATTCAACGGTGGAAAGTGATTTTGCTGTAATGCCCAACAGGGCCACGAGGAACTCAACAAAAAGATAACTCTACAACACCATTATTCCTAGAACTCAATCCACGTAAAGGGTATGAAGGTGTATGAGTCGCAGCACTCACCAACAAAAGTGATCTAGAGAGAATCGATACAAAGATGAAAACTCTAGTTTCCAACAATAATCAGCCTAGACCTGACAAACCTGCACAACATCATGGCGAGGAGCACAAGGAAGTGGCTGCACCTGATAACCTCTTGATGCCATGACTTCAGCTACAAGATAAGTTCCCTTTTAAAAAAGAACAGAGCCAGTAAATGTCGTGGAGATGAGGACTCAAATTTTATTCATTCAACAGAAAATTGCGATGAAAAGAATGTACAAACAAAATCAAATACCTTGATTGCCTCACCAACCATTTGAGGCGAAAGGAACAATCCCTGGAAAAAGGCACGCATAATATCACCAGGGGTTGAACCACAATCAACTCCAAGCCCGGGTGCAGAGAGACGAGCAGCTGCAGCCATTACCAATTTGTTTCTGCCGGCAACGTATCCACCACATGGTGCAATGGTTCCCCCTGGGTTTTTTATTAAACTTCCAGCAATCAAATCGGCTCCCTGCAGCCCAATTCAACGGCGTGTTTGTTACTTGTCTCTAAGGAGGACAACACAGACAACTTAGAAAAGAACCGAGTCACATACCACCATTGGAGGTTCAATTCCTTCAACAAATTCACCATAGCAATTATCCACCATCACCAAGCAGTTAGGATTTTGGGCCTGTGGATGTCACACAAATGTGAACAGAATAAGAATCAAAACAGGTCCGGAGTTGCAAGAAAAGCTCTAATTCATGCACAAACAATAAGTTTGTGTCAATGTTGATCTAAGCATAGACAGCAATCCGTTCTATAATTCTTTACAGTACCTCTCGTGAGAAAATGATCCCACAACTGATCAAGTGTAATGTCGTCATTGAGTAATTTAGGTTATTTCCATTAGCATTCATCCTTTCTCTCCTTACAAAAAATCAACTATCTAAGCACACCTATACATCAATTTAGTATAATATGCAACACCTGGCCTAATTTACTATAAATTGACAAACAATGGCAAATTAGGTCAATCATGATGCAACCTACCAAATCAGGATTCCAAACCCAGATCAATCCATGCTCAAATAGATAAATTTTTCTCTTCAGCATCTCATGCACCTGTCAATCCTACCTTTATCATCTTTATTGCCCTGCCTATGTCCTTGACACTTAAGCTCCTACGCCATGAATAACCACAAGACCTCTGTATCAATGCACATTTTGTATGAGATTCCACAGCTCTGGAAAGTGAATCCCAGTCAAGTCCACCGTCCTCAGCAAGCTGGTTTATGCCAATAAAGAGTAAGTCATTACCAAAAGTAGGAAAAGCTTAAGGTGAAGTCCTAAATTGTTGTAACGTACTGGAACTTCCCGATACTTCACTCCAAAATCTTTCAATGAACCCAGCCCATGAGAATTCCTCTTGCCAATAACTTCCTCTAGAGTATCATATGGAGCCCCAGCAACTGCCAAAAGCTGACAATCAAGTTAGTACAGAACTTACTATCTTAAATTTACTCTGCAGTCCCAGCTGACTTTACCCAATCAAGTTAAACACAAGTGTCAATGATATAATGTAGAGCTTACCTCATCCCCTGGCCTCAGAATGGCAAAGAGAGCACAAGTAATAGCATGAGTGCCTGAGAAGAACTGTATCAAAGGCACATGCTTGAACGGTTAATCAAGTGAAGCAACTATACTTCCAAGTAAATATAAGCAGTTTTTCGTCAACCTGAGAGCGTACTATTGCTGATTCAGCCCCAAAGATTTCTGCAAAAGCCTGGTCAAGTGCTTCACGTCCACCTGCTTCCTCATGACCATAGCCAGTGCAACCACCAAAGTGCTGATGACAAACATGAAAGGACACAAATCAGGACGTAATGACTAGAAGAGATGATCCAGAAAACTATTCATCTTTTCTCATCAGTTGTATAAGTATTATGTAGAGAGAGAGAGAGAGAGAGAGAGAGAGAGAGAGAGAGAGAGAGAGAACGGAGGCGTGATATGAACTCCATTAGACTACAATATTCCTCAACAAGTGCCAGTGCAAAGACACATTAGCATTTCCTTTTGATGCATAGCCTCAATTAGAAAACTGCTGACCATCACTAAAGCAGACATCAAAAGTTAATTCCTAAAGCAGACATCAAAAGAATTCCCAAGTCCGCTGAAAACTTATTTGTTTTTCCCAACTGCACATATGATATGTTCAAGTTGACATAGTGTTCAGGCGAAGAAACTCAGCTGTGACCATGGCCATGTGACTTAATCTACACAAGTCCCTACCCCAAAAACCATGAAATAATCCACTTTCACCTTGTGGTTATCATGTTATTCAATTACTGACTTCCAACTCAACATTCGGAGCTAAAAAAAGAATTTGCTTCCTTACATGGGATCCAATTCGAGCATTCTGAAAAGCTATAAGTACACGGGCTGTGTTATGCGCCACCAACACATCTACAGATCTGAATTCGGAGTACAATGAATCCACTGCTTTCGAAACCTGCATTGCCCAACGGGTTAATAAAAGGGGAAAAGAAGACAAATTTAGGCACTTGGCATTCCAAAATGAAGCTTTCAAGCTGCAAATAATCGGGCTCCTTCAAAGCACTAAGACCACATCTCAGCTCCCATTTTTCGCAGCTGACCTGGACCACCATTATGGATTTATGAATGGACAAAGCATCTTTTGTTTTTCCAACTGTTGTCACTATGCCTCAGCAACCGAAAAAGATTTCGAGCCAAATACTATTCCTAACTTCTCCGTGTGATACAATGCATTTTTCGCTTAGTTCTCGACTCGCCATAAAATGCCAAGGCCCAATATACACCGCGAGGCACGATCTACCAACCTCGAGCTTGAACCGACGCAGCTCAATCATGAAACATTAAGTTTTACAGATATCAGCTCGAGTTAGGCCCCAAACTCGAGCCTGCAAAACGATCATGCGATCAATAGCAGACACGTCTAAAAGATCAAATGCTCCGACACTTTTGAGCTCGAACTCTGGAGTCAAGCATCCAATTGCTCCATCCCTTGACACCACTAGTCCTTGAACTCACAAGAAACGAAACAGGAGAAGACCCATTACACACTTTCCATCGTCGACCACGATGGACACAGAACGCTCTACGAACCGGCACGGAACGCTGGATTACAGCAACATCACAAGCGAAAAAAATGGAAGCTTTGGTCGAATTCCTTAACGGGTTACCTCGGGAACGAACGGGTGGCTAATGGGTATGGAGGCTTGAGAGCTGGAACGAGCTGCGACTGCGTTTCTTGGCGAGTACAGAGCACAAGCAGAAGGTGCGAAGGATAAGGCCCGCATCTTCTTCTTCTCTCTGAATCAAAGGAGACTCGAGCGTGTTCGTTCGTAGTGACTGTCCGTGTGTGTCGATAGTGGTTTTTCTTTTTTTTTCGTGTATTCCGGTCGGCGGATTTCTGAGTGAGTGGAAATACCCAATATTTTCATGCTTGTAATTTGGTAAATTTTGAAATGGGATAATTACATAAATGGTTCATAAACTTTTACTTAACGTGTAATGTCGATCCCGAACTTTTAATTTATTCAAAGTAGTATATGAACTTTAGTTTAATGTTCAATGTTTTGCCTCTAAATTTTTAATTTGTTCGATATGATCTCTAAATTTTTTATATATATTAAATTTAGTCTATGAATTATACGATAATGTTCAATATTGTCCCTAAACATGAATTAATGAAAGGACAATAGTGAACATTTACATGTAGTTTAGGAACTAAATTGAACATATTAAATAATTTAAGTGTTCAGAAACAATATTACATATTGGGCTAAAGTTCAAAGATCATATTGAATAAATTAAAAGTTCAAGGACGACATTGCACATTGGCACAAAATTTAGCGATCACTTGTGTCATTTTCCCTTTCAAAATAGATTGATAATTAAATTTTGATAGGCAATTTACTTAGCATGTAATATATCGGTAAGTTACTCATAATTTTATGAAAGTTTCAACGGTTATTCAACACGTAACGCGTGGATAACTTACTAATAATTTTTTGAAAGTACCAACAACTAGTTCGATTGTTCATTTACCAACTAGTTCTGTAAATTACCAATATTTACTCGCGTAACTCATCAATATATCGAGTTATTTAACTTTTATAGGAAATTATCAACTCTTATTTGAGCATGTTTACCAACTTTATTTGATTGTTTTAAAGATTATCAATTGTTTCAAAAACTTACCAATATTTATTTGCTACACTCTTGTAGCAAATCATTAGTAATAGTTTGAGTGATAACTAGCTTCAAATATCAGTTGGTAGTTTTATATAAGAGTTAGTAAATTAAATATAGGTATATATTCGAGTAATTGGTAATTTAGAAAATAGATGGTAATTTTGCATATAGAGTTAGCAAATTTACCAAGTTGATGAATTTTAACAATAATGGTAAATTATAAGAATGATCGATAATTTCAAAAAAAAAAAAACTTCGGCAGATGGGCTCAAATGACATTTGGTAACTTCCTAGAAGAGTTAGTAACTTAAAAAAGTTGGCAAGCTATGCAGATAAATGCTGATTAATTTGAAACAGTCGATAATTTCCAAAAGATTAAACAAACGTTTGCAGTGATTCAAATAGAAATTGGTAATTTCCAATAAAATTTAGTAAAGTTAGTATATTGGTAACTTTAACAAATAAATGTTGGTAAAATATAGAAATAGTCAATAGTTTCAAACAATCAAATAAACATTGTTATAAGGACTAAAATAAGAGTTAGTAATTTCCTATAAGAAAGTAAATTCAACATGTTGGTAAGCTCTCCAAAAAATGTAAACAATTTATTAAAACAATTGATAATTTCTAAACAATGTGACAAATGTAGGGTACTCAATCAAATAAGATATTGGTAAAGCTAAAACAAGTTAGTACCTTAACCTATAAAAAGTTGGTAAATCACCTAAATCAAGGCTAGTGATTTCTTATAAGGGTTAGTAACATTACTGCTTTTGTAAATTTAACAAATTGATATTGATAAACTCTTAGAAAATTTGGTATTTTTCGAAACAATCGAATAGAGATCGATAGGTCGAATAAAAATACATGATATTCTATAAAGAAAATTTAACACATTGATAAGTTACGTTAGTAAATATTGATGAATTATTAGAATTGTTGGTAACACAAAACAATCAAATTAACTGTTGAAAATTTTTAGTAACTTACAAACATGCCTAATAAGTTGCCGGTCAAAATTTTATTACCGACCGGATTTGACAATTACCGGTATTTCACATTGTAGGGACTTTTTACCTTAAGGATTAGAGGTATCTCTCCTTGTAATTCGGATTTGGCTCAATTTGGGCCCGTTTGGCAACGTGCCACATAGTAAAAATTTCTGTTCTTTTATTTTCAGAATCAGCTTGGGAACAGAAATCCGTTTGTTAAAATTTTTGTGCCCGGGCATAATTTTGCAAAAAATTGGTCCCAGAATCAATTTTGGAACAGAATCAAGAAGCAAAAAAAAGTAGGGGTGATCGGTTCCCGGTCCGGTCCGTTCCCATCCAAGAACCGGGAACTGGACCGAGAGGACCGGTTCCCAATTTTTGGGACCGTGGACCGGACCGACCGGTCCAGTCCGGTCCGGTCCGGTTCAAATGAATCAAATACTTGTAAAAAAAAAATATATGTCCCATGTGGGCTTCCAAAAATATACATCCCCTAATTTAAACACGTGTTATTAGAGAGGCAAAAAAAAAAAGAGTAGAACCCCATATCAACAAAAGTTTAATACACACTTCTGCCATTGTTCAATACTATCCATGGGAAGTCAAAAATTACATTTATTTAAGTGTTGAAGTTCAACACTCAATCTGGCCATAGATGAAGTGCCGCGGCAAATTATAGTTTCCGGAACAAACTTTACCTGTGGGTGGCAACCTATGTCATCCTTAATTGCCATGAAAATCCCGTCCAAGATAGATAATGGCTTCCCTGCATCAGAAATGCCATTAATTTATCAAGCTTCCCCTGCACCATCTAATGGTAGTGCACTGCACACCAAGCAATCGGGAAAGGGCTGTTCGTTTGAGATTGAGGGTCAAGTGAGGTAATGATGAATCTCGTGAAATATACAAGATTTGTTCCTCGCTTTGTGATTGACAGACAATCTAAGAAGCTTGATATTTTGTTAGCCTACTTGAACAAACTCATCCAGAAAGAATTTCCCTGAAAATCATAGGTGGTTCAGACTCTTGAACGCATTAAAAGAGATGACCAAACTATGCATAAATCATCAGGAGCCCCCCACCGCACAAATTAATTCCACGACAGATCAAGTCAGCTAGAAAGAAAGGTACAACACTAGAGAGAGAGAGAGAGCTCACCGACGTAATCTTCTAGGTTTAATGTCAAGTAAAAACCCTTGAAGGCCTTCAAAAATCCATCATCTTCCACCGTAGTCTCTTCACCTCCAACTTGTTCTCCATCAAGTAATCTGCCAAAAAGCACAACAATTTGAAGACGATCATTTATACTTTGGAGGGACATAGAAATAACAAAAATGGAAGCTCACGTGTGACTGCATCATCATAGTGAATTTGGCGGAACTTTGAGGCGAGGCTGTGAGGCGTGAGGCGAGGCCGTGAGGCGTGAGGCGAGGCCGCTAGGCGGAAGGCGAGGCCGCGAGGCGGAAAGGGAGACCTAAAGCGAGGCCGCGAGAGGACGTCGAGCAAGGCGAGAGGCGAGGCTGCAAGAGGAAAAGGCGATCGACGTCGAGCGACTCGCTCAGAGCAAGGTGTGAGGTGAGGCCGCGAGGCGTGAGGCGAGGCGTGAGGCGAGGCCGCGAGAGGACGTCGAGCGAGGCGAGAGGCGAGGCTACAAGAGGGAAAGGCGTCTGACATCGAGCGACTCGCTCGGAGCAAGGCGTGAGGCAAGGCGGCAAAAGGGAAACTGGGAAGGCTTGGACGCGGGAAGGCTTGGCTTTGCTCAAGTTACTGTGGTTAGGGTTACCGAGAGGAAGAATTGGGAAAGTAAGTAGAAGGCAGAAAATTGGGAAAGGAAAGTAACTGTTTAGAAATTTAAAAAAAAATAAAAAAGTCAACCCATTCACAGCAGCTTGATGGCTCACAAAATTGGCAAGTCAGTAATAACAAATAAATTCCTTGAAAAGATAAAAAAATAACTAGCTAATTTTTAAAAATATGCATAAATGATCGGTCCCAGGCCCTATCGCCTGGTCGGTCCGGTTCTCACCATGGAATCCGGGAACCGGACCGACCGGCCCACCGGTTCCAAAAATGGGAACCTGGGACCGGACCAACACCCTAGGCTCCGCCTGAACCGACCGTCCGGTCCGGTCCGGCCCGGCTCGGTCCCGGTCCGGCCCGGTCGGCTCGGTCTCGGCCCGGCTCCCGGCCCGGCCCGGCTCGGCCCTCTGCCCGGTGGTTCCCGTTGCACACCCCTAAAAAAAAGTAGCTTCTTGATTCTGGAACAATTTTTCCATTTCTGATTCTTCTTGGTTTTCTTCTTTCTTTTTTATTTGTTTTTCATTTTCTTCCTGGCCCGCCGCCGGCGACCGACCACCGGCGATCGTCCACCAGCAATTGGTCAGGGCCGGCGAGGGTGGCCCTCGCCGCCCCCAGCGACGGCAAGGTCGGCCTCGCCAGATCTGGGCGAGGTCGAGCCTCACCTGGCCAAGGCGAGGCCAACTTGGCCGTCGCGGAGGGTGGCGATGGCGAGGTCGGCCTCGCCAGATCTGGGCAAGGTCGAGCCTCGCCCGGCCATGGCAAGGCCGACCTCTTTGTCGCGACCGACGGGCCCTGGCCTGTTGCCGGTCACCGGCGACCGACCATGGCCAAGGAAAAAAAGAAAAAAAAAGAAAAAAATATTAAAAAATTCAAAATATTATTAATAAAAAGAAATTTTGTGTAGCTACCAAACGCATTTCTGTTCTTTTTCTATTCTAAGAATAGAAATTTTGGGCAGTTACCAAACGTCTTCAAATGCTTAGAAATTATTCCCGGACACAAAATAAAAAAGAATCATTTCTGACCAGAATCTGTTCCCGGGCACAGAATAGTTGCCATGCACAGCCTTACTTGATATCTACTCATCCAGCTTCAAGTTGAACTCATATCAGATTATATACGTTGTGCATGTCATGGTGCAAGTTATAGTTATCATTTAGACTCCATTTGTTCAGTTAAAAATGAACGATTTGCAAAAAATTTTCCTAAAAATGATAACTTTTATCGCTTGATATAATTAGTCAATGAAAAATATTTTTATCACCAATGATAATTAATGTTTTCACGGGCAGGCAAGGCTCGACTAGCAATTCCCTAATTGACATAAGAATTAGGGCAGAACATCTCTTAACCTAATAAGAGAACCTTTCATAGGTATGATATATTTCAAGCAACAGTTCCCGGCAAAACACATGTACGAAGTAGAGCGTTTAAAAGTCACCGGATCTCTATTACACACTCCATCTCAGAGCAACCATGCGCAAACGCACATAAAATAGTTCATGATCCTGACACTGGCATTGTCATCGACATTGCTTGTCGAGTGGTTCATGCCCGAAACCACTAGCATTTACAGAATTCAATCACTACGGAATTCATTCATCCCGCATCCAATCTTCACACTCGACGAAAAAATCAATCACCCCCCACTTGCCTCTTCCAGGAATCTTCCACGATCAATTCATCTACTCCCCAATCCTCATAACTGTAAAACCATATAAGGGATAATATAATGGAAATAAGTGGGGGGGCATATTGCATTGGCAAGCTCAAACACAGTATATTTGATGCAATGGAGGAGGAAAACCATTGACAGTGAAACTCACCTTCCATCTGGGAGATAGCGACGGATGGTGAACGGTATTTTCCTCTCTCGAAGCTCTTTCATTGCAATCTGCAAGATAGTAAATATCCATAGTGAAGTAACACATTGAATAAGGCACTTTTAGCATTCAAAGAACTAAGTAAAAACTCGAGTACGGTCCATACCTCCAGTGGATCAGTTTCACCCTCTAACTCAACCATGACAGGCGCATTCATGCTGTTCAATGAAAATAAATTTTGTTAAAACACAAAACTAACAAGTGGCTAATAATACCGAATTGTTTAACACAAACCTGATCTGCAGAGCACGAGTACCCAGAATTCTAGCACGCTCATATTTGGTCATGAACTTTGATGTCTTACGAGGTCGCTCTACAGGTTGTTCTTCTTTTTCTTCACCATCAAGAGGATCAGGAACATCCTCATTGTTATTGTTCTCCGCATCCTCCTCTACACCCTCCTGCATGTGCAGAATTCATCAAAACTGTCAGTCAAATTCATCAACGATCAAACATTTAAGGAAAGAACATGGAAGAGTTGGACCCTTACTTCAATCTCAGGCTCTGGCGGTTCATCTTCGTACCTGCACAGCACAATTCATAAGCATCTAAAAGGAACTGCAAAATGCCCCAAATCGGCATGCTGTTTCCTCTAGAAAAGTTACGCAACTACGAATTGGCCATAGTAACCGAACAACAAATGCTCACGTCCCAAAAACAACCAAGAAAAGAAATCTCGAGAAAATAGCAGATTGAGAAATCCGCCAGACTCCAATGCAGCCGCGGCGACATGGGAATGAGAGATACACCGCAGAGACTATGCAATTAAGCATGGAAACTTGCAAACCACATAAACAGGACCGAAAACACATCACAGCATAATTCAGGTGGAAATAGCATCGACCCAGTAAACCTTACAAGGAGCTATTCGAACTAGAGAGTTACATGCATCTGCTCTCAGTTCATCCAGGGCACAACCCCACGCGCAAAAGCGAATCCTACTGCTCATACGAGCAAGAAAACCCAACACGAATAATCCACAACACTCGCACTCTCGAGATGAACTAAACGGTCCTTATCACATGCCGCGCCGACCCACATGCCGCGGCCGACGTAGAATCAGCCGCAGATGTCCGAAGGAGGTGAAAAACCAGCTCAGCCAACTAAAGGACGGACCTTTGAAGCGCGAACGACGATCGTAATCGAACCTAAACCGAAAGGGCGAGCGAGCGCGCGCGCGCGACATGCAACTCACAAGCCACGCTCGGACGACACACAGAAGTAGAGAGATAGAGACAGAACAGACAGGGAGAGGGAGAGAGGGAGAGAACCCCATGTCGATGTCGTTGAAGTCATCGTCCGCCATGGCGATCGGCCGACGAGCTCCGGAGCGGGAGGGAGGAGGAGGAGGAAAGGGGGGGGTAGAACCAAAACCCTAATTTGATTCGGAACGATTGAATCCGGCGCTGAGTTGCTGCTTCTCGGCAATTTCTTCACTTTGAAGTACAAGGACCCCTGTAAATGGGCCGCTTCTCTTATTGGGCTCTGGATCAAAGCCCGGCCCATTGGTTATTCTGACTCTTTTTCTTTTTCCTTTAATCTGTTCTAAATGTATTGTTAATAAAGGATTTTTATTTAGGTCCGCTTTCGATGTAGAAGAAGGGAAAATTTCTGCCGAAATTCCACCCTTTTTTGTCCATGTAAACCATCTGATAATTGAATTTTTTTTTCCGTATGAAATCCTCATATCTGATAATTGAATTTAATTACCTTTTCAAGTTATCTGACTAGAAATTAGAAGAAAATGACGTTATCAACGTAAATATGACGTGATAAAACATTTTCTGGGGTAATTGAATGAAAGAGGACATACTGCATTGTTATTTGACTGGCAAAAAGATATGAAACACAATCAGAATCGAAGTGCGGCGTGTGTTATGTACATGTTATAATCTGTTTCGCTTTACGATAATGAGTATATTGCTCGTAATTCCGACAAACACGCATCATAGTTATATCGAGAATCTTGCAGTAATGATGTTGGATTCTTTTGGATTTTTCATGAGATTTTTTGCAATTGAAGGATTAGATATTAAGGTCAATAGGATTTGGTGAGGTTTTTTTTTATAAAAAAATCAATCTTCATTTTTTTGTGGCGTGCTTTGAGCTATATAAACCCTCTCCTTTGCTTGTCTTTTCAAACATCAAGATCCTATTTCTTCGTATGCGAGTCGATATGTCAATGCGGTCATGTCTCGTTGGTATTGTATGAATGCAGACAAATATGCTTGATATCCGTTGTTGAGAGTAAATATGCTTGATATACGTTGTTGAGAGTAAATTCCTTAAGATCTCGAGGATGTACCGGTTTTGATTGATAAGGAAGAGAAGGGACGCCGGTAGGCAACATTGCCACACCATCTAATAGTTTTCTTTCATTTTTCTCGGGATCATGTGCCGGCGAATGGGTTTCAGAATCTATAGAACATTGAAATCCACTGGCCAAGACAGAGGACCGCAAGACCGCGTATTCAACATCAACTATACGCAAGCGGAAGATGAAAATCTTGCTCTACATACAAGTGGATGACGGAATCAGACCTTTCTCGTTAAGAATCGTACATGCAATCGTGTCCAGATTATACGGTTGAGGATACGGATGTGTACGTATACTTTTTTTTTGTTTGTTGAAATTATTGTAATAGACGTATGAGATCAACTAATGACATACAAATTAATCGTTCTAATTTAATGTTTTTTCTTTAAACCCTAATTTCTTTTTGCTCTGCTCAAGAATGAGACCCATCTGTACACAAACATGTCCATGTCCAATGCCATGGAAGCAATATTGGCTGGCTGGGATATTGAGCTAACACATCAACACTTTTCTCATACGAAGCGGGGGTCGTTTTTCTTAAGAGAGCCACATGGAATTGATATTTCACTAAAAGCAAATTATGTAAGATGAATTGCCGAAATTCGTTATCGAAGGCACTTGAGTGATCGTTTTTTCATTATTGATGAGGCCCCATCTAAAGACTATGGTAATAAAGAGTCACTTGTACCAACTCTCGCTTCATCTAGCACACGACTCCACATGCAAAAAAGAATTCTACTGCTCACATCATTCTACTTAACTTAGCCAAGCAAGAAAACCAACAAATTCACACTCTCGAGATGGACTAATGTTCTGTTTGTTTCGCGGAAATGCGTGATTTGGAAAACATTTTCCTAAAAATTATCGCTTACACAAATGAATGAACAAAAAATATTTTTATAATCTATAAAAATGTTTAGACATAATTTAAAGTAGAAAACCTAATAAATGGGCTGCTTCTCGTATTGGGCTCTGGATCAAAGCCCAACCCATTGATTATCCAACTCTTATTCTTTAATTAGTTCTAAATGTATTGTCAATAAAGAATTTTTTATTAGGTCCGCTTTGCATGTACATGAAGGGAAAATTTCTACTGAAATTCTTCTTTTTGTCCATATAAATCATCTAACAATTGAATTTTTTTTCGAATGAAAGCCTCGTATCTAATAAATGAATTTTGTTACCTTTTTAAGTTATCGAGAATCCGAAAGAAAATCGCATTATTTACATTAGGGTTAAGACTATGAAAAACCCCAAACTGGTACATCTGTGACAAATTTACTCCGAACTAATCTTTTGACCACGAAAAATCTCAAACCAGTATACCCGTGACAAATTTACATAAAACTAATTCTTTGACCACCAAGGCTGCAAATGATAATATCATTCTGATTCTCTGTTTTTCTACTTTTCTCTTCCTAAGAACAAGTTTGAAACAGAAATCCGTTTGGTAACGCAATTTCATTTTTCTATTTCTGGAACAAATTTTGATTTAGAACAAAAATGAGAAGTACAAATTTTCAATTTTTCTATTTGTGGAACAAAAATGAGAAATAAAAATTCTTCTCATCGCTTGCCCTCGCTACTAGCTGATCGGCCACCCGCCACCCACCACCACCCACCGCCGCCCACCTGCCGTCTGCTGCCTCCCGCCGTCTGCCACCTCCCGTAGTTCGCCAGCCGTCAGTCGCTATGGGCTGCCGTCTCCCATTGTGGGCTATCACCCGCCGGTTGCCATGGGCCGCCAGCCGCTACCCTCCTCCAGCCTCTGCCTGCCACCCGCCACCCTCCTCCTACCGCTGCCCCCCGCCGCTTGCCTTCGGCGGTTGCTTGATGCCGGTTGCCTCCTGCTGCCGTCCTTCGCATTGGCCGCGCCACCGTTCGCCGTCCTCCCATCGTCCACTCGCCGGCTGCTCGGGAGGGAGAAATTTTGTGCCATTATTAAACAAATTTTTGTTTCGATAACAGAAATTTTGTATCGTTATCAAACGCATATTTTTGCTTAAGAACTCATCCATGGAATGGAAAAATCTATTTCTAACCATAAATTGATTTTTAAAACAGAATGGTTGTCATTCGCGCTCCAAAAATTCCAAACTGGTATACTTGTGACAAATTTACCCTCCGTTACATTAGATTAATACCACGGAAAATCACAAATTAGTAAACTTGTGACAAATAGAAGGGTAAAAGTCCAAACTAGTACACCCATCAACTGCCACGTGTCATCCAACTTAGCAATTTGACGGTTAAATTTTACGAAAACTAATGGAGGGTAAATTTATCACAGATGTATCGGTTTGGAGTTTTTCGTAGTATTAACCCTTTACATTAATATGATATGATAAAACATTTTTTGGGGTAACTAAATGAAAGAGGACATACTACATTGTTATTTGACCGGTAAAAAGATATGAAACACGATTAGAATCGTAGCGTGTTTATTCGGGTATAATGCAACATGTTTTATATACGTGTTATAATTTGTTTCGCTTTATGAAAACGAGTATATTTTTCATAATTCCGACAAATGCGGATCATAGTTATATTGAGAATCTTGCAATAATGATGTTGGATTCTTTTGGATTTTCCGTGAGATTTTTTGCAATTGAAGGATCGAATAATAAGGTAAATAGGATCCGGTAAGATTTTATTTAAATCAATTTTCCTTTTTCATGTTGTGCTTTGAACTATATAAATCCTCTCTTTTTCTTGTTTTTCAAACATCAAGATCCTATTTCTTCATCTTCGAGTCGATATGTCAATGCAGTCAAGTCTCGCTAGTATCATATGATTGCAAACAAATATGCTTGATATACTTTGTTGAATGTAAATTCCTTAAGCTCTCGAGGATGTATCGGCTCTGACGATTGAGGAACGGAAGATCTCAAGGTTCTTCCCTTCCTCCGAGCCTCTGCTGCCGGTCTTCTTTATTATCTACTGAATAATGAGGTATTGAATTATCTAGAAATTCGAAGAACATATTTTTTTTATTTGTGAATCGCATAACCTGTTTTAAGGAGGACGCCAATCAAGAACATCGTTGCACCATCTAATAGTTTTCCTTCATTTTTGTCAGGATAATGTGCTGGACTTTAGTACCGCGGATGGATTTTGGGATTTGCTGAACGTGAAATTCACTAGCCAAGGACGGAGAACCGTATTCAACATCAACTGTACACAAGCGGAAGATGAGAATCTTGCTCTACATACAAGTAGATGACGAAATCAGACCTTTTGCATTAAGAATCGTTCATACAACTGCATCAGGATCTATCAGTGTAATCTAGACTTTGGGCCTTTAGCGAAATAAATAAGAATATCGGGTCTATAGTCATCATACCAGTCGAGTTACTAAAGTACGGATGAAGATTATACGATTGAGGATACGAATGGGTATGTATCATTATTTTCTTTGAAATTATTGTAATAGAATTATGGGGTTTACTAATACACTAATCAAATTACTACAGTCCAATTTACCAACGTATCATTCTTATTCGCAATTCATTCTTCCTTTAGGTTAGTTGGCATTAGTTCCATACACATTTTTTCCTGTCCGGAATTGCCATAGAACCCAATTCACTCAAAAGAACGAAAGATCGACCATTTTTAGCCAAAAGAGATCTAGAGTGACTCAAGGTCCGTCTCCGAGGGCACAAACTTCCGCGATAATAACAGAAGCTTCCTCAAACGAACCCGTCAAATCCTGCTCTCTCAAGATCTTCTTCATCCATCGCCCCGATCTGCATTGAGTTTGTGCAGATCAGACGGCGGCTTTCGCCGCGCAACGTCGCAGGTCAGGGCGTCGTCCCCTCGTCTTGGTTTCTCTTTGACAGCAACGTATTCGGTAGCGCTGAACAAATCAAACGAGTCGAATCTTTAAGTCCTGCATTCGGTTCAGAAACAAACTTGTTCCTTGGAACAGCACATTCTTGGCGCTGTTTTAGGAACACCGGCCAAAGTAGGTAGGGGCGGCATGACTTATCGATAGTGGACAACCAGGGTTCCTAAACATACGCGAACAACCACCTTCGGTGGTCGAAGCTCAGGAGCTGTTGGAGAAGCGATATTGAATCGAATACTGTCTTTGGAT